CTCGCACTCGACGGTGCTCAACGGCAGCACGGCGAGAGTGATCCAGATGCGGACCATGTTGGGGTAGCTCGTCTCCCAGTCTTCACTGCGTAACATGTGCTTGAGGCTGGCGTGGAATGTCTGGTCCTTGTACTGCGATGCCATCATCTTGGTGAACGGCACCAGTTCCCGTCCCACCTTTTTCCAGCTCACTCCTGCTCACGCACAGAAGCAAGTACAAGAGGGGGGGGCGACGGGGAGGTAAGTCTTTGGGAACATAACACCGAGTGTGTAACATTGATGCACTTCATAGACACACACCTACCTGGAAGTACGCACTTCTCCGCACTGAACAGCTCGCGGAGAGACTGGAACCAGGCTGCGCAGAGGCGGTCTCTCTTCGCGCTACCCTCGGGGTACGCGTCAGGCAGAAAAATATTCGCTCCACTGAGGGTGTCTAGGCTCTCCATCCGCTTCAGGAGGTGCTTCACAACTTCCTGCGCAAAACGGGAGGTTACAGTGATGCAAGATTCAATGTCTCCCTTGGACTTCTGACCCTTGATGGCGTCCTCGTGCAGCTTGAAAGTGTGGGTGACGGGACTTCCCTCCCCATCCATGCCTTCGACAGTCACCTCCCGCTTGTTCAATGGTCCATGCTTCTCCAAAAAATATGTCAGCAACTCGCTATCCTCAGCGTAGTTGACGCCGTGCTCGCTGTATCGTTGCTTCAGCTTGTCGCACGTGTTGTGGACCATTGATGCCATCCGGGTGATGTCCACCTGCACACGGCAAGAAGCAGTTGTCATAGCCGCTCGTATGCATAAATATCAGCACGGACCTCACAAGTGCTCACCGTGCGCCGTTGAAACTTGAGGTTCAGCTCGTTGAGCAGTTTCAACACATCTGCCAGGAAGAACAGGAAAAAGTGGAACTTGAAGCTTGTGACTGTCGCGTATGTCTTTTTGTCGTGCTCCCACAACACCACTATTGCCGCCGGTAGGACTGTCACGAGCCTCCGAATCGCGTCGCCACGCGCCAGCCATCGAACGTCTTTAAACCCCTGCACCTCCAGAGACGTCTCGTGCAGAATGTGTTGGAGTTCCATGAACCGGGAGTGCAAGATGATGCTCCTTCCCAAGTTCTCTGCGACGCTCCGCACGACCGTGTCGACCATGTTGAGGTCGGGCACCGCCTCCGCCGCGTCCTTCGCGGCGAGAGCCTCCCTGCATGTGTGCGGAAACAAAGGGTTAGAACACTGCAACAAGTGTGACAACAAAATCATAAACAATCAACACACAAATGTTGACAACGGACCTGTGAGCGATGCAGTGGCACGTCACCAGGTGTGGGACTCGCAGTTTCAGCTGTGTCCCCACTCCAGCCTGTGAACCCCGCATCACGCTCGCGCCATCCGTACTAATGCTTGACAATTTCATGATGTCGACGCCCGTGATGGCCAAATGGGCGAGAAGTACCGTCAACAGAGATGACGCGTCGCACTTCTCGACTGTCAAGTGCCCAAACAGCTCGGTGACGACCTCTGTGTTGCGAATGAAGCTCAGATAGACGATCATGTGCTTGCCTCTGCGACGGTCGGTACTCTCGTCGAGTTCAATGCCTAGGAACGGAGACGCCTGGATGTGGCGCATCTGCTGCTGCTTAAGGTTGGTGACGATCGCTTCGGTTATTTCACGAAAGCCGTACCTGCACGTCACAGTCAAGGTGGTATTAGTCGTTGTGATTCCAGAAACACAAACCAAGAACGTATCATCACTCACGCTGACTGGTATGTCCCTATGGCCTTGTCCGGGATGTGCGACGTCTGAAGCTCGGCCAACAGGCGAACACGATCGACATAAAGGGAGATGGGGGAATCGGAATTGCAGATAAATAGCACGACCAGCATCAGTTGTTTCAGCCGCGACGTCTCATTGTCGTCGTTCTCGAACTGCTCAATGCCCCGTTGGTCAACCTTACCGCCTTCTGCGCGAAGCTTGGCATTGACGGTGTCCTGATGCTTCTGGCTGAGCGCGTGCTTCCGCATCGTTTGCCGCTGGATATCAACGCCATCGTCGCCAAGTTTACCGAACTTCCAGTGGGCAGGACCGTGAGCCATGCATATGCTGCACTTCATGCACGGAGTCCCGTCCTTCCTCTGCGTGATAATCAGCCACTTGAATTTGTCCAGCCAATATTCCTTTGACAGTTCATGCAGCTTCTCCATTAGCGCGTCTGGATCAGGGACATGGATGGTGCTCCTAGAAGGCCCAGGATCACCTGTCAGATGAGCTGCTGGTGGAGTTGATGAAGCACCTACTCTAGGCGCTGTGGTGGGGCGTGCCATGATGCGGACGTGTGGAACCCCTGCCTTAGCAATCCGCAGTGTGCTCTGGGTATATCGTCCTGCCTTGGGGAAACGGGGCACGGCAGTACCACGTGAAGTGCTAGGCGCCGCTTGCGATCTAGGCTTTGGTGTATTCCGAGAAGAGGAACTAGGGGAGACGGGCGGTGTGCTGCTGAAAGCCCGTCTAGCATTAACAGCGGGCCATGAAACAGGAGTAACATCATGGCGATTCGGGGAAGGTGCCCTAGGAACGCGAGTCGGCGAAGACGAGCCTAACACGGCGGCAGGCTAGGAGCGGCGTAGAAAATATAGGCCCGTGACTAGTGGATTGGGCCGTGGGGTGGGTGATTCAGCAGCTTCCGCGTCGTCCGCCATGGCGAGAAGACGGACTGACATGAAAGGGGAGAGAATTAGTGTAATCGCGGTGAAAATGGCTGGGTGGGGCGTTTGCAAGAGAGCAAGGGAGAAGAAGGACCCCCCGAAACCCCAACGCCCGACCGCACATCCCAGTTGACGAAGCGCGCATGGCTCCCGAAAACTGTGGGTGGCACCACTTGACTGTGGGTTTGTGGTGCTGGATTGATGACTGTTGTACAAAACTAACCAATCCCTCACTTGTGACAGGCCACGTACGACAGAAACGGTCCTGCGTGGGCAAGTCGTGACGCAGACATCACGTGAGGTCAGCATAGAACCTGACTGTTTGCCTGTTGCAGCAGCATTTTGTTGATGTGGTGGCAAAAGATACACGTGGGAGCACGGGCCGCGAAATGTATGATGCATACATTCCGGTATTCAAGGGGAAACACCCACACCACGCCTTGTTCACGCGTGAATCACGCCCAAGGGTAGAAAGATCCGGTAACAGACGAAACCGGAAAGTGTTCCTGATGAATCAAAGGAACATGGAAAACGTATCTGATGGATCAGATACAGAGGAAAAGCATTTCTGAAAGAACAGATTTCACTAAGTGCTAATTTCTGAATCATCAGATTAAATAAAAAAAATAGCCTCCAAATATAGGACAAACAGACCAAAAATTTCTGCTAGCGACAACTTGCCTAGGAGGGCCTTCTTACCGCCCTAGACTCCCAATCTGGGCAGTGCATGGCACCTGCCCTCAAGCTCAGTTTCGACTGCTATTGTTGTATACATTCAATTTCATCAATGTATGCCTCAATTAAAAAAAAATCCATTATCTACAAAATTGATAACGCCATACGATTTTGTTTCAATAATAATTTCTTGAAGCCAAAAGGCATAATTTTTAGAAACATGTCAAATCAATCAACATCGCTCTAAAACTCGCGCATTAGTATTTATGTATAAGAAATTGTTAAGAAAGCTTTAGAGTATACACTCTAAGACTACACTTAACATTTCTTGTCCTTCACTCACCACACGGACCTCCCTCACTCCCTCAACAGAAAAGATCTGCGTGGATAACCTTTTCAGGAAGGTCGGGATTCGGGAAGCGGGGGTGGGTGGAGAGTGGAGGAAAGCCATTTCTTTTCAGCCGACGATTGGCTGTTTCTTCAGAGATTTCACACCAGCAGAAGCACTGCTTCTGAAGCAGTGGTGCCACTAGTAGCCATCTATTTCTCTTGCGAAACTGTTTACTTTTCAGAACATCACCGACCAGCAATGCTGGAACGCTTGTACATATCTTACTAGATCTTTCGCCTAGTTCTTCTCACTGAAGTTAGCTAATCTGTTTTTGTTTCCTGTGAATTCTAATTAGCTTCACGTGGAGGTTCGCCCTGCATCTTTTTCATCTCCGTTGATACAGCTGCCATGTCGGAGGATCTGTTTTCAGAAATCGAACAGCTTGCTCCTCAATTTGCCGATGGGAAACTTGAATCCTTAGATCCACTGCAGCGAGTAATTTCCGATCTTCTATTAAAGTCCAAGGACCGGACATGGCTGGAGAGTGACGCAGACGTCGCCGGCGGGATCGCCGTTACGCGATTGATTAACCTTCTTCCTGATTTTTCTCGGCATTGTCCCGAGCTTTACGGTCTTCAACGATCCAGCGACGTATCTGGACCGTCGGCTGTTGACGGATGTCAAGGATCCGCATCTTCAAGCTTCATTGACCGACTTTCCACTGATTGGTCGATTTCCGCAGATCCAGATCTACATGAGCCGTCAGCATCAACATCAACGTCTACTGTTGCTGCAACTGAGCTTATCGATGCTCGAGGATCCAGTGGTATCGCTGCTGCACAACCAGCAATCCGTCCGTTGGTGCAAGTTCTTCGAGTTATTCGGAACCTGCTCGCCGGCCTCACCACGAATCAAAACGCGTTTTTACAATGCGGTGCTCTGGACGCTGTAGCTACTATCGCGGACCGGCTTGTATCGAGTCACATCGTCCTCCAAACCCCGCTGCCAGGCGCCGCTCCTTCCGGCGGAAATCTCGCTGCAGCAAGCGGTACCGCGAATGTCTCTGCAGCATCTGCTGCGGATCAACCAGCATCGGGATCTAACGCTCCAGTCAACGGTGAAGACTCGAGCCAAGTTGCTTCTCAATTTGCAATGCTTAAAGTGGGTAGCGGAGCTGCTTCAGGTGCAGCGTCTTCGGGCAGCACAGCCGACGGGCTTTCGTCTTCAAGGCCCGCATCCGCTTCCGCTTCCGGCTCCGCCACGGGTTCCTCGGCCGCGCCTTCCGCGCGCATGCTCAACCGTCCCCCCGCCTTAGCGACTTCCGCGGGGGGAGCTTCCGCCAGCGCAGCCCATCGGCGGAAGCGGTCCATAAACAGAAAGGGCACCGGAACGCTGTCTCTTCCCCTCCTCTCCCCTTCCGCCGCGTCGTTCGGCGCTCTCCCCGGCGCGGCTTCCCCCGCGGGCGGCGCAGCGGCTTTCGCTCAAGGCTCGCCGATGGCGGGAGGAGGATCGGGTAACCCGATGACCCCCATGTCGCCCATGTTCTACTCGTCGCTGCTGCCGCCTGCGTCTCCGTCCGTGCTGCACCTGGCGCTGCAGATCGACCTGCCGCGAGACCACGTGGATGCCTTGAAGGCCGTGCTCCAGGTGGGTGCCTCTTCTCTCTCACCCTCTTCTCGCCTCTCTTACCACCCGCCCCAACCCCCCACCCTCGCTCGCCCCACGCCTCATTTCTTCCCCTTCCCCCTACCCCCCCCCCACCCACGTCTTCCTTCTTCTTCCTCGATCTCCCCCTCACTTCTCTTAAATATGATGTATCTTATGAAGTTGTATCGTCTCAATTCTTTTTTTCTTTATCGCTGTCGCGATGCATCTGACTAAAGCGGCTGGCTCGTCTCATGCCACGCACGCCTATACGCGGATGCTAAATTGAATATAAGTGGACCCATTGGCACGAACGGGTGCTTACTTATCCGTGCACCTGACTTCTTTGACTAAGGGGCCTCACATCCACTAATTTTCGACCCTATGTTGCATTCTCACTGGCCAGTACGATCCTATTCTACAAGTTTCTCCACTCGTATTTGCTACTCCGCCTCCCTCCGCCTCCATTTCCGTTTCTCGTCCTTTCACACTCCCATGTCTTCTCTCGCCTGATATCCCCCTGTCCTGTCTCTACCCGACCCCCCATGTCCTATCCTCACCCGTCCGCGCGTGTCCCCATCCGCAGGTCATCGGCAACTTTGCCAACGCGGGCGAGCTCCACCAGACGGCCGTGTGGGATCGCTGCTTTCCCGGCACCTTCTCCCGCCTCGCCACTGTGCGCTCACCCACGGTGCAGCGGCCGCTCTGCATGGTGCTCTTCACGTGCTGCCGCGCCGTGCCCAAGCACGTCGACGGGCTCGGGGGATCGATGGACGGCGTCGCGCTGCTGGCGGGCGCGCTCAGGGCGCAGGGGGAGGCGCTCGTTGCGCGCGCGGAGGGGCGGGATGGCGACAGCGGCGGGGATGTTTTCTCAGGTATGTTGTATCGTGTGCTGTTGAACATTTCCCTCGCCCATCCCTCACCCATTTCACACCCTCCCCGCCCCTCGTCTCCTAGTTCTCTCTCCCGTTATTTCTCAACCCTTGCCTCTGCTCGCCCCTGTTGGTTATGCACACCCGTCTTCTCCTGTTCCTGCTTGTACAAATCCTTTGTCCGACTTGCGTACTCATTACCTCCCTCGTTTCTTTCTTCCCGTCCTTGTCACTGCTCGCGCCTCTTGCTCAGCTCTCCCGGGCGCTGCTTCCAACGGAATGGACGAGTGGCTGGGTCTGCTAGTCGAGAGGCTCTGCCTGCGCGCGCGGTACTTCGAGCCGGTCTTCAAGAACCTTCCCAACTTCTCGCCGCGCCCTGCCCTCGGGCAGGTCCGAGGGCTTTTCTGCCCGGAACAAGCGGCCCTGCTGTGGGTCCTATGGGGCGCTCTACACGCCACTGCAAAAGCACGGGGGATCCCAGGCATCGACCTGCCTTCTGCTTCTAACGAGGATGATGGGAACTCGAGGGGCGATGAGACATCAAGCGATGAGACGTCAAAGAAGGCTGCAGCACCTGGGTCGAGGTGGCAGGTGCATGGCTTTCCTGACATTGGACCAGGGACTCTCAAGTTCCTCCTCACAGCATGCAGAAATGCTGCGGCGGGTTTGGGCAAGGCTCGGGAGGAGGCAGGCAGCAAGGGGCTGTCACACGGGTCGGCACCTACCTCTTCTTCCTCCTCCACCTCTACGTCCTTCACGTGTTTGCAACTGGTGCTCTGCTTCTCCCTCCGCTGCCTCCGCGTTCTCGCTGCCCAAGAGCCCTCCACCACCTCCCATCCAGCTCCCACTGCTCAGGACTCCTCATCCACGTCCCGACCCAATGCTGCTGATGCCACATCTGGAGCTGCCTCAGCAGCAGCAGGACAGACCACGGATTCGAAATCAACGGCTGAGGATGCGTTTGTTGCGATCGGAGGGTCCGAGATCATCCCGCTGCTGCTGGATCTCCTCCAGGGGCTGAGTGTGAGTGTGCCTGGAGGTCCAAGCGGTCAGGGCAAGGAGGAAGCATATCCAGAATATCGATCTGATTTGATATCGGTGCTTGCAAACGCATGTCACCGCCGGCCCGTGTATCAAGATGCCGTCAGAATGTATAAATGTACAGGGGGGGTAACAGATGGGGATGTATCTGGCCTTGTGCTGGTTCTGCGACAGATCACGGCAGAGTCTGGTGGGGTCAGTGACGGTACTAAGGAATGGGTGGGGTATGCTGTGAGGTGTGTGGTGGAAGGGAATGAGAGCAACAGGAGAGAGCTCTCAGCAGCAGAGCAATCAGGGACAGTTTCTACAGAGATGTTGGGAGCAGCTGGTGTGAAGTGCTAGTCTTGGATGTTACCTGTCAGTCTAAGAGCGTATTCCTATCCTCGTATCAAGAAAACCTCATATCAAGATTGTACTTTTTGCCTGGTAAAAGTAGCGAGAGGTTTTGGGTTTAGGGGAATTTTCAGTGGGAAGTTGATATGAGGTTTTCTTGATACGAGGATAGGAATACGCTCTAAGTAACCACGCTTTTCTGTATCTATCAGTCAGTCATTGCCTGTTGAGATCAGGGTTTGCCTACTTACGATAGCTTAAATATGCCACCATCTGGGAAACATAGACCCTCCAGTTTTCGGGCATGATGTAATGAATAATCGACCACTCGATAGGGGGTATAAATCAGACAAATCAAGTCTCCGAATCGCATCCTGCAAATTTCAATTCAGCTCAGCAGCATGTCAGTAGACCATCCCCATAATCGCCCCACCCTCCTCCGCTAATTAGTCAACTAGAAAATAGGACAGGTATCTATCGGCTAGTACGTCTCCCCTTTCCGTCCTCCACCATCCTCTCCGTCTGCTCCCAGTGGGCTGTGCGAGCCTCCCTATCCCGCCTCTCACCATGCCGTACGTTCCTCCTCATCGCCGAGCCGCCGCAAACAGCTCCGCAGCCGAACCTGCTGCTCCGTCGGCGGCAGCGCCAAACCTAGGTTATCGAAGCTCGGGAGTAGGTTCGGAAAACAGGTTTGGGGGAAGAGGCCGAGGCAGAGGTCGCTCCTATCAGGCAGGAGGCCGAGCCAATGAACCCGTTATAAAGAAAATATCGATAAAGAGCTCTCCTGATGCTGTTTGCTGCACCCTAGTTGACGATTTCGCTGAGCGAAATTCATCTATAACGGGAGGCCCCTGCAGTGGCGAATGTGCTTGTAACGGGGGCCGAGCTCGGTGTAATCGGATGGTTCTCAGATTCCAGCAGTTTCACATTAGTTCTCAACAGCGCGACTGGGAACAAAATCTCGCTATCCTAGCACGGGTTCCAGAAACCGAGCCTGACTATATCGAATCACCTGCAGACTCTGCATCCTCCTCCGTATCAAATCCCACCTCTGATCCGCCCTCTGATTCGCCATCTGATTCGCCATCTGATTCCCGTACCTCTAATTCCCCGCCCTGCTCCTCCTCGCCGCTCTCTACCGCTCCTACTACCTCCTTTTCCGACACCCTAGTCGGTCTTCTAGCCAGGGCACTAGAGGCCGCTCACAGGGACATACAGCTCGTGCCAGAGCCTGGGAGGAGAAGGACGAGAGTGGTGGAGCGGTGCAGGCTAATGGTGAAGCTGGGGAAGCTGTTGTTATCCCCGTCATGGAAGTCCTCAGTACCCGTGTGAATCCTTGGATTATTCTTCCTCCCCTTGGTATCTTGATTGATGGGAGAAGGGCAAGAGTGGTGGAGCGATGCAAGCTGATGGTGAAGCTGGGGAAGCTGCTGTTGTCCCCGTCTTGGAAGTCCTCAGTACCCGTGGGGTCTTTAGGTGTGAAAAGCAATGTATTTTTTCGTTTCCTCGTGTCCTTGATGGAAGACTAAGAAAAAAAATCCTTCTCACTGTTTCCTTGGGACCCTGATTTGAAGAGGGATGGTGAACGCCCCATACAAGAGGCGCTTGCACTACTGTGTCAGGGTATTCCATTCCCCATGCTCCCCTCTCCCTCCCTCAACCAACCCCCCCAACCCATCAGCTCCCTCCCTTCACAGCAGGCGCGTTTGAGTCACACGTCAACAGGCGCGTTTGAGTCACACGTCAACAGGCGCGTTTGAGTCACACGTCAACAGGCGCGTTTGAGTCACACGTCAACAGGCGCGTTTGAGTCACACGTCAACAGGCGCGTTTGAGTCACACGTCAACAGGCACGCTTCCCGCAACCCGGTGCCTCTCTTCCACCATTCTCCCTCCCCTCCTCGCTCCTTTGATTCATTACGAATCTCCCCCTCTCCCCACCCCCATTCCTCATGCTCCTCTCTCCTCCCATCAGATCAGATCCCTCCCGAGCCTCCCGCCCTTCACAGCAGGCGCGTTTGAGTCGCACGCCAGCAGGCACACTTCCCGCCTTCCTGTGCCTCTCTTCCACCGTTTCCCCCCATCTCGCTCCGTTTCCACTAGATTTATAAATCTCACCCTCAACCCAAACCCATTTCCCATGACCCATCTCTCCCTCCCATCAGCTACCTCCCGAGCCTCCCGCCCTTCACAGCAGGTACGTTTGAGTCACACGTCAACAGGCACGCTTCCCGCAACCCCCATTTCCCATGGCCCATCTCTCCCTCCCATCAGCTACCTCCCGAGCCTCCCGCCCTTCACAGCAGGTGCGTTTGAGTCACACGTCAACAGGCACGCTTCCCGCAACCAGACACCCTCTTTCATGCACTGGCAGGGATGGCAACAGAGGGAGGCGCAGGGAATGTGCAATACAAGGCTAGATCACGCTATCACATCTGGGTAATGACTAGGTACCGGGTGGCTTTTGAGTCGACTCAAAAGTTTCCTCTCGGAATATGCTATACAAGCGCGGATGTGCCTTCACATCTGGGTACAAGGGGTAACGGGTTCCATGCTTCCACTCCTTCACCCCGAATCATTTTCGCATTCCCCTTCTTCTCCTCTGGATCTCCCGTTCCTTGCTCTTTCTGCAGCACCCTCGTTTTCTTTACAATTTTTCCCTCCTGTGATGGCCACAGTACACTGAAATGAAAATTGAGAATGTATTGAATCCTAAGTGGACTTTTTTGTTATTGTTGTTTGCTGCCATTTCTTTGTAACAGATATCAGATACGGAGTTGGATATCGAGTACAAGCTAATCTGTGTGCCTGACCCTGAAAACTCTGGAATTATTCTCATTAAGGTGTGCCTCAATCATATGCTTACACATCGTTATTGTTATGTCAAAGCTCTGTTCTCTTTCCTTCACCAATTCTACTCCAAAGCCTTGTGAATATTTTCCATGGTTCTCCGTTTGATTTTTACTTGTGAGCCGGATTCCGTTTCCCTTTTCCCTTGGTGCGGTGCCTTGGAACGCCCATCAGGTGAAGCACAACTCGCTGCGCTATGCAGTCATTGACATTGCTCGCCATTCCAGAGCCATTGATTTCCGCCTGCTGCTGCTGAAAGAATCAAGGCTCTGCTCCCTCGATGTGCGTATTTCTGGCCTTGCGTTTTCTGTACACTTAGTTTCCATTTGACATATGTGTGCGAGAAATAGAATCTCTGCATCACATCCCATCCCTTCGTTTCCTCGCATCCCTTTCTCTCCCCACATCCTTTCCTCTGCTCACGTCCCTCTTCACAACCCTCTTCCTCAAATGCCTCCTCCTCGCATCCCTGCTCCTCACATCCCTCATCCCTTTCCCCTCTCCCCTACCTTCCTTTCCTCTGCTCACATCCCTCCCCCCTTTCCCCTCTCCCCTTCCTTTCTCCTTCCCCCTCCTATCATCCAGGATGCCACTCGATCCGCCTGTGAGCTCATAGCATCCACTGGAGTCATCGACAGGAGTGCAAGATGGGGGCTGCTCTGGCCAGACACCACCACTGGCTTCGATCTCACCCTTCTCTCCTCCTCATCAACGTCAGCGTCACCATCATCACCATCATCATCATCATCATCATCATCATCATCATCATCATCATCATCATCATCATCATCATCATCATCATCATCATCATCATCATCATCATCATCATCATCATCATCATCATCATCATCATCATCATCATCATCATCATCATCATCATCCTCATCCTCATCGTCGTCGTCGTCGTCGTCGTCGTCGTCGTCGTCGTCATCATCACCACCATCAGCAGCAGCAGCAGCAGCAGCAGCAGCAGCAGCAGCAGCAGCAGCAGCAGCAGCAGCAGCAGCAGCAGCAGCAGCAGCAGCAGCAGCAGCAGCAGCAGCAGCAGCAACACCCACTACCCCGCCTAATCTGTCGTCACAATCAGTCCAATTCTCGCCGTCCAGTCTCTTCAGAGTCATGGGCTGTTGGCATCTGGTGAAGTCCCGGGCGGAGTCGGGCGGACGTTTGTGGAAGCTGGTTCGGATTAACGGGTTGGTGGCGGGGCAGGTTGGGAGCAGACTGAAGCACCAGATTGACCTGTGCCCCTTGGCATGCCGGGAAACAACCAAGGTGGGATTGCTGTTATGATTCAGAGATCCTTGGTCATTCGATGGCTCGGCACAAGGCCGCTGGCCGAGTACCTGCTCTGCTGGGCGACTTTTGAGTTGACTCAAAAGTCACCTCGTTACAATGGCACACGACACATGGCTCGGCACAAGGCCGCTCGCCGAGTACCTGCTCTGCTGGGCGACCTTCTGACTGACTGACTCCCAAGTGCTTTTACGCCTCTAATCGGATGGAATACGATGCTCTCAGCCTTAAACTCTCCTCACACCCATCCTCCCCCCTCCTCCCTCCCCACCCCCCCCCCCCCCCTCCCCCCCTTCTCAGACTACTGCTGGCCTCGTACCTGTTGGCCATCTTATTGATACCCGTGCTTTTACGACTAGAATCGGATGGATTACGATTCCTTGAATTTTGTTTTTCTCCCTCTTTGCTGGCTTGTGCTGTTGAATGCAGAGCCATGAAGGCCCAAGCAACAGTGCGAGTATTTCACCCGTAGCCTACTCGGCGGCATCTTGCTTTGACTCGAGCTTGCAGCAGGCAGCACCACAGTGGACTCCGGACAGCATTCTTGCTGATTGCCCCGCCCTCATTCACTGGCTGCAGGAGCACCTGCCTTAGGGAAGAACAGGCCGAGCATGTATGTAGGTAAGACCCAATAATAGGCCTCATTCTTGCTGATTGCCCCGCCCTCATTCACTGGCTGCAGCAACACTTGCCTTAAAATTTGGTGGATGCGGGCTTGCTGACGTTTGTTGATGAGGTTGAAAACTAGTTTCGTCAAACTCCTGCCGCAACGCAACCTCTTCCACCCGTAAACTCGTCCCTTGAACTTGCCCCATGATCTGGTCGTCCCGTGTCGTCGCGTCTCGTTGCGACTCGTCCGATCAACTGTCACAACTCATTCCGCGAACAAGTTCAACCGACACAACAGCAATGGCCACGCTTCGATCCTTTTCGTCCACGACTGCCACCCTCGACACAGCAGTTTATATTCCACAGCGTTTTATTCTGGAGATTCTCATTCACAAGGTCATGGTCAAGAATCCCTTAGTCGATTTCCGCAAATTTGGTGATTTGATACGAAATTGTCCATTCCAGCCATGCCGTACGTTCCTCCTCACATGCGAGCTGGTACAACAATTTCCGGTTCCGAACCTCCTCCGCAAAGGACGCCGGCAACTTCGAGTCGAGGCAATGCAGGCTCGGAAAATAGGTCTGGGAGAGAGCGAGGCAAAGGCCGTGGTCAGGCGGGTGGCCGAGGCAGAATCTCCGTACGAAATGCTCCCGATGCTGCACGGGGTACATAAATTGACGATTATGCTGAGCGAGAATCTTCCGTTATTGGAACATCTTGTTGCAGCAAATGTGCCTGTAACGGGGGAAATGGTCGCTGCAACCGCATGCTCCTCAGATTTCGACCGTTCAAAGGGAGGAGCTACGTGCATTTACAGGATCCGACATCGCCCATATAGAGACACCTGATATCGAAACCACCCAGCTCCCTGGAGATTCCTCTTCTTCCGAATCCTCTGCAACCGCAACCCCCTCTATAGATTCTCATTCAGATGCCTCCGCCTCTGTAGATTCACCTTCCGCCTCCTTTCCTTCCGCCTCGTCTCCTCCCCTTATCGCAACCCCGGCCTCCCTATTCGACGCCATAGCCGGGCCGCTTCGTGCGGGGTTGGATGCGGTGCAGAGGGAGATGCTGCAGTTTGCCGCCCAGTCGCAGCTAAGGCGGTCCACTTTGGACCGATGCAACCTCGTTGTGCGCCTCAGGAAGCTGCCATTCGGATCGCTAGCATGAGTTGTGAGAGGGAGGGGGAGGTGGGGAGGTCGGGGAAGGGGGGAGAGAGGGGGGGTAGAGAATGGGAAGACAAGGGGGAGGAGACAGAGGAATGATACCTTGTACGGGGAAGTAGTGGATGGGAGCTTGGTGTGCGCCTGGGGAAGCATACACGCCTATATGTCCCTCCACCATTCGACATTCCCACCCTCCCATGTCTCCCCCATCACCCCCATCACCCCCATCACCCCCATCACTGCCATCACCCCCATCACCGCCATCACCCCCATCACACCATCACCCCCATCACACCCATCACCCCCATCACTCAAAAGTCGCATTGGAGTCGGTCTTTAACCGCCTGCCAGGCGGCACCTCCCTGCCAGGCAGCGCCTGCCAGCCAGAGTGCAGCGCCTGCCAGCCAGAGCCGCTCTTCCAAGCTGTGGAGAGCATTGTTATGGCGGGGGACGGGGCGAGCACATGCATGAGAGAGGCGTACCACATACGGGTACGTGTCATGTGCCAGCCATGCCTCGTAGGTACTCTGTATTTGGCAGGTCAGCAACATATGACTTAATGGGATTGCAATGAGACAGTAATGAAAATAGAGCTTCCTTGAAATCTTCACCACGCACTTGTCTTTGTTCGTCTGCTGCACCCTTCGTTCCCCGTATTGCCGATCCGTTATAGGTAACAGACACAGACCCGAAGGGTTTCGAGTACAGGCTGACGTGCAAGCCTAATCCGGATGGCTCTGGGGTTATCCTCGTTAAGGTGTGCTTCTTTTTTGGTGTGCTTCTTTCTTGGTGTGCTTCCTGCTCATGTGACCATGGAGTCCATCAAGTGTGCTTATATGTTCATTACCTCCTTATAAGCTTCTTCTGTACGCCCATCAGTTTCCACCCCATCAGTTTCACCCCATCAGTTTCACCCCATCAGTTTCACCCCATCAGTTTCACCCCATCAGTTCTCTCCTATTGAATTTGCAGAATCTTCTTCTTCTCAGGCTCTCTCTCGTTCCCCATCCAAGTTTAGTTCATTCCCTGTCCCTTCTCTTGAAACCCCTCATTTTTTTCTGGCTCTCACATTCCCTGCCCAACTTCGTTCCCTTCCCCTCCCCATTTCCCGTTCCTTTCCCCTTCACACCCAGGAGGTCACTCAATCCGTGTGTGAGCGCATAGCATCGACAGCAATCATCCAGGATACCTCCAAGGGCGGCCTACATTGGCCTATCGCCCTTGACTTCCACGTAGGCATGACGGATGATCCATCACACTGGTTCCAAGTGACAAGCGTGCGGCATCAGAAGCGGCTGCATGTGCAGTCGGGTGGGCAGGTGTGGAAGCTGTCGCGAGTGAACGGGGTTGATTACAACCATGGGGAATGGCGCCTCACAAACGAAGCAGAATTCTCCCTGCTGCGTGGCGAGGTGCTATGAAGGTATTTTGCTGCTGGGTGTGTTGTGTGGGCGTGCATGTGTGTGCCTTAGAGTGCGGTCGGGTGGGCAGGTGTGGAAGCTGTCGCAAGTGAACGGGGTTGATTACAACCATAGGGGAGGGCGCCTCACGAACGAAGCAGAATTATCCCTGCTGGCGTGGCGAGATGCTATGAAGGTGAGTGAGACGCTGGTGTGATTGTGAGTGTGCATGCATGTGCATAGTAGAAGGTGGCTCGCTAACGAACTGGGATGTTGCCTGTTGCTGTGGGAACACTGGTAAAGTCGCGCTGGTTTTGTTATGCAACGGGAATGAAATACATTTGCTGTCTCTCTATCGTTTCTTTTTCTGTTTTTGTTTCCTTTGGTCGGTGCCATACCCGCTGCAACTGTGCAGGGAAAACAGGAGGCAAGTGACAGCACAGCCACGTCTCCTCCTTCCTCCCTACCCAGCAAGCCCCCACCTACAAGCTACTCAGCAGCATGTTGCTTTGATTCGAGCTTGCAGCAGGCAGCACCACAGTGGACTCCAGACAGCATTCTTGCCGATTGCCCCGCCCTCGTACACTGGCAGCAGGAGCATCTTCCATAGATTTGGCAACTAAAAGTGGTAGTCTGGTGGGTGCTTTGCATCTGAGACCTTCCCCTCTAGTTGAAACAACGGGTGTGTATATATTTCGTTGTAGGTCTGGAAACAAAATGTGATAAATGCTATACATTTGGGTCCTCCTCCTGCATTAGTGGGTGTGTAAATATTTAGTAGTGGAACTGGTGTGAGCGAGGTACATACAGGGCCTCAGATTCGTTTTAGGGTACCCTGAGCACTCAGGGTCCCTTGGAGGTGTAACACTGATCTTCAGTGTTGCCTGCTTAGAAACACTGATTTTTCAGGGTTAGTGAAAAACACTGATCACACAGGGTGCCTTTTCAAAAAACACTGATAGAATAATTAAAGAAGGGGTGCAGGCCCGGTCGTGATGTGGAGAGCATGAATGAACGAGACCCCCTGCGGCATGGGTCGGCTGGTCGAACCGCACAACCACGCCCTTGCGTGGTGAATCTGATCTGATGCCACCATTCACCACTGGTCCACTCTGGATTTGTGCGCAGCGAGGCCAAGAATGACAAGTGTTGGCAGAAGTCAGAGTCAACGAAGCATTGAAACACTTGGAACAGCCAATCAAATAGCGCCTTTGCGCAAACACTGCCCAAAATTGAGCCGCAGGGTGGCGTCGATCCTCGTTGGGTACACCCTCTTTCTCACCTCTCTCACCGGCGGAAGCACTGGCTACAGTGTTTGGACGTAGCGGGCTGGTGAGATAAGTCAGTTGCGGGCAAAGTCGCACGAGGGTTTGAAACACGCATTGGGCCGTTAAAAAGCATTAACGTTGAATAACCGTCCCGACCGCTTTGAAAACAACAGGACCATTGTAGAACGTAGAAAACCTTGACTAAACGCCCTGGGTCAAATTGTCACTGTAACGCATGTGATAGGACCTTCTTTGGTCCGGTGTGGCTACACTAAGCGTCTCTGTCAGTATAACATATGCCAGTCTATCGAGAAAAAGGGTGTACATGAATGATGACGGCGCGCCAATATGCGAGAAACACGGAGTTTCGGTTTCAGGGTCAACCCCGATACAACACTGACTCGTCAGTGTCTGCAAACACAAAACACTGAAAATTCAGTGTTCTACAAAATAAAACACTGATCCATCAGGGTCGCTAAAAAAAAAAGGCTGATCCATCAGGGTCGCAATAAAAAACAAGGGTCAAACTTCAGGAATTCAGGGTAAAATTCCTGACATCTGAGGCCCTGGGTACATATACAGTATTATTCTAATGAAGGAAGATCTGATGCTAGTGCAAAAACTTCGAGCTGATGACTTCGAGCTGACACTTGCTCTGCTCCAATCAATTCATCCGTGCATGCCATATATCCTGGTGTAGAATGCCCACGCAGCGCAACAAACACATCCTTTCGACTTACCGTATCTTTCACCATTTGTCAACATGGCAGTTAGTGACTGTCAGAGCTCCTGGTACGGTAAACCCAATGGCATCTCTTGTGTCGAGATAGATTTAAACCTAACAAAATGGCAATTCTCCCAACATCTTAGTGCTCTGGGTACCGTATGCATAATGAGACACCCTTTCTGGCTCTCCCCGACCGACCTGTTGCCATACCTACAACTGAGGCACGGGCTTGAGCTCAATCTTCAGGTCTGGTGCCGAACCAAATACTGGCAGGTCACCTGGGTCCACATTCGGCACACTACTGGCACCGGAATTGCCTGCCGAGCCTGCAGAAGAGGCTTGGGCCGCAGGTACGGCAGCCAGGTCTGGGGAGGACTGGAGTGCGTCGAGAATCATCTCAAGGAACAAGCGGTGCCTGTTAAAGCACACATGGGGAACAGTAGATGGCACGAACACAGGGGGATGGGTCACACATGGGGAAAGAATCATCTGAAGGAACAAGCGGTGCCTGTTAAAGCACACATGGGGAAAGGTGGACAGCAAGAACAGATCGCTGTAATCCAACGGGGGATGGGTAACGGCGTGTGCAGAAAGGAATGGGTGCACATGCGTATCGAAGTGCAGGTGAGAAAATGTGGCAGAGATTGAGGAGATTGGAGTGAAGAGGCTGGTCTGGATTAGGAAGGGCTTTAGAAGAGACGAGATGTGAGCAGTTTTCTCTCACCATCTGAGGTCCGCTGTGAGCTCTGGGTGGAATGCCGTGGCTAACAGCCTGCCCTGCCGCACCGCCACTGCCACCCGGTCCAACTGGCAGACGAGCCAACAGAGACGAAAATAGGTAACACAAGACAAGTCAACGGAGGGGTAACATAAGTCAACAGAGTGAACACACAAGGGGGAGAGAGGAAAACACGTGAGACATAAGCCTGCGACAATTCGAAACGGAATTTGGAGGACAAACAGGTGGCATAGGTTTCCATAGGAAGCACGTGGTGCACTCAAATTCTGGCAGTTCATTCTAGAAACTTCACCTTCGCGAGAATTTCTGCTTCGGAAAGCTCCTGGCCGCTCTGGTCAGGCACAGCCGAAGAAGCAGCTGCAGGCTCGGCCGAACCAGCGCCTGCAGGTGCGACCGGGGCAGCAGGTGCGGCGACAGCAGAGGCACGGTTGGGAAGAGGGTATTCCGCCAGCACCTCAACAGCAGGGCCGGTGTGGATGATGGCCGGGGCTCGGATGAACACAGCTCGAAAGGGAGAGGCGGGAAAAGCGTCGGGAGAAGGGTGAGGGAGGGATATGTGTGACAGGGGAGGTGTGGGTGGTGCTGCTGGTGATGCTGATGGTTCTGATGGTGGTGCTGCTGAAGAGGTGGATTGAAGGGTGTGGTGTGGGAACGGAAGGAGAGTCTCAAAGCTGTTGATCTGCATGGGGGGCAGGAAAGGGGGGGGAGGGGTGGGAAAGGGATGGATAAGCAAACAGACATGCGGATACACTTGCGCACATGCAGACATGTGCAAACTCGCACACATACACACAGATGGACACATAGCCATACACACACACGAGTGTGCATAAACGGAAACAATACGGTGCACACTGCAGCCCAGACCTCCCTAGCAGCGTCTACATTTAAAGTCAACTCAAGATACACCTCTAACGAGTCACTCACTAATGGGACAGCCCTCAACACCCCCCCTTGTGAAAAGTACCTGGCTGCCAAAGAAGTTGCGATGCACAGTGCAGTCAAGCCCCCCCAGCAGCGCCTGCCCTCCTGACTTCTGACCTGCCAGGAAAGGAGCAGAGGCACGTCCGGTCCGGAGGGAGAGAATGCAGCACACGGGAGAGCAGGGGCGGCGCGAAGAAATTCGGGAAGGAGGGAATGAAGCAGCCAACGTGCATAGACAGCTTTCCCTAGCAGAGGCTTTCCCTAGCAGCGGCTTTCCCTCCTCACTTCTGACGGCAGCACAACTTTCCACCCGCCCGATGCCTCCGTTAGCCAGGAAAGTGCCCCGATAGACTTTACCCCTCCCCGTTCCCCTCACCGTACGTATCCACTCACCCCGGCCCCCCCTGCTCTCCTCCCATACCCACCTAGCGCCTTGTTGGCGAGGAAAATGAGTCCAGCACACGTCCCCCACACCGGCCGGCCAGAGGCTGCGAACTCCTGCAGCGCGCCGAGCTGGGGGAAGGGACAGGAGTGAGGGGAAGGGGGAAGGGGAAGTGGGGGGGACGGAGGGTGGGTGAGGAGGGAGGGGTAGGAGGGGCGCGAGAGAGTCAGTCGGGATGTCTGAAAATTGCAAGTCGACTAGAAAAAGAGGCTGCGAACTCCTGCAGCGCGCCGAGCTGGGTGAAGGGACGGGAGTGAGGGGAAGGGGAAAGGGAGAATGGGGGGAGGGAGGAGAAGGAGAGGCGCGAGAGAGTCGGTCGGGATGCTTTAAGAATTGACTCGACAAAGAGGCTGTGAATTTCTGCAACGCGAAAGCATGTTCCAAAAAGGCATGGGATGCGCATCGCTGGGCGAGGTTAGCCATTGTGGTGCTCTCCCCGCCGTGAATGATGAGCGGAAGGGGGGTAACCAAAACGATAGCACGAAAAACGGGTATCAAGAAAGAGGGATAGTGGCTTAGAGCGGCGAAGGGCTAGAGGAACAGAGAAGTTGGGGCAAGGTTTCTTACCAGTCCACATCGTTGGGCGAGGTTGGCCATGGTGGTGCTCTCCCCGCCCGGAATGATGAGCGCTTGAACCGACCGCAGCTCAGCGTCCGTGCGCACCTCAACAGCCTCGATGGTTACTGCTTTCATGTCCGCCGCGCACCTGCGCAGGGCTGATGGAGGGAAGGGCAAAAGGAGGGGCGGACGGAGGGAGGGGGGAAGCGAAGACGAGGCAGAGAGGGGAACGATGAGCGCCTGCACCGACCGCAGCTCTGCGTCCGTGCGAACCTCAACTGCCTCGATGGTTAGTGCTTTCATGTCCGCCGCGCACCTGCGCGGCGCTGCGGAAGGCGGGGGGGGAGGGGGGATGGGGGGAGAGGGACAGGAATGACGACCGCAGCTCCGCCTCCGTGCGCACCTCCATGCTAAACGCGTTCATGTCCGCCGCGCACCTGCGAAGGGCTGCGGGATGGCGGGAGGGAGCGAGAGCGGGAGACGGGGGAAGGGAAATGCAGGCAGGGAGGGACGGGGGAATGATGAGCGCTTGAACCGACCGCGCCCGCGCGGACCTCCACCACCTCCATGCTGACGGCGTCAATGGATATTCTACGCCAACTAATACATCTGATCGCGAGCTGGGATTGACCCACAGTGTGCTCTCTCAAAGCAACGAGCAACAGACGTATAATGCGATCCACAAAAACCGATCGCTGATCTTTGACTCTGACCTGCAATGTGCTCTCTGCACGGCTGAACCTCGAAACGAGACTTGCCGAGAAATGAGCAACAGACATTAATGTGATCACAACAACCAATCTCTGATCTTTGACACTGACCTGCAAAGCAATGAGCAACAGACGTTCAATGTCATTCACAACAACTGATCGTGAGCTAGGACTGACCTGCAATGTGCTCCCGGAAGGAGCCTTGCAGCGCCAGCACTCCCACTCGAATCAAGCAACCTGACGCCGATCCAGAATCCGATGCCATGGCAACCGAATAGAATATGTGCGATCAAGAATGGAGCCGCGGACGGACCACGGATCAGGTTATAGTCACGAATTAGCTTTAATTCGGTAATCCGCTTAGGATTTATGGCTGGTTACGGCCACGATTAGCATCGAGTCGTGAATCTGCTTAGAACTACGGAGCTAAGGTGAGATCGGATCAGCGGTGCATTCTTCAGATCAATGGCTGGTTCTAAGGCTCGACTGAACTAATCGCGGATTGGCGACAAAACTGCGGATTCGCGACAGCTTTTTTTGCCTTTGATCGTTATCCAACGAGCAGAGCGACTCTGGGAGCGAAGGCAATGCATCAGCTGCGATCGAGGAGAAGCGTCAAGCGCACGGCATGAACGAAGTCTGACAGTGGACAAAGAAGATGTCAGCGGACTTCTCGCTCCAGCCTAACAGTTGCGTGCACGGTTCATGCTGATTGGCTGACTGATAATTAGAAGGTTATGAAGGAATAGGAGCTCCCTAGGTTTCTAGGTGTTAGTCGTGTCTACGGATTCCGTGACAGATGGTTAGAAAGAACAGAAAGTGCAGGCTGGTTATTGTGGATACGTGTGCGGTGCTGGTTGTGCCACGGTCACAGAACACCAATTGGTCCTTTATCGCTGGCACTTGTTGCGTTCGGGGTTCGTGTCACGACAAAAAACGAGTGTCACACAACCAAAACACTGAAGAAGCAAGGGGGTTTGGAGTTCGTATCACACGTTTGTTCAGCGGGAAAAATCAACCTAGCATTGTAGCGATGTCTTGATGATGTTTGACACAAGCCCTGAACTGCCCCCGTGATCTCAACTCATGGACGGCTCGTGAATCGAAAGTAGGGTCAAAGTGACAGAAACTCTCGTTATGAGAAGCCTCGCAGAACAGTTTATCAGAACCCGGCTAATGAAACTGTAATCAGCAAAGGAAACATTCCATATCAGGTGTTACCCTAACGTGCGAGCTCCTACCTTCAGCGACGAGCGCAGCGTTCGTGACTAGTCGGTCGCACGCGACCCCATCTTCAGGTCGCTCGCTTCGCAGCGACCAACAGCCCTCCCTTCAGCCGAAGGCGAAAGTGGCAACGACTGTTTGCGATAAGTGGTAAGCAAAAAGGCGTGTGAACCGGCATCGTCCAGCTCCCAGACGAAACACCAAGTAGTATCGCATGCGTCGCGAGCCGACCATTTCTCAGTCTCAATCCCAAATGTTCTTTCGCAAACCTCATTCCTTGTCGCTCGCAGCAATGCGCCCCCTATTCCGTTCTAAGTCACTTGACTGGAATTTTCAAACTCTGCCATTACTCCTTATTACTCTAGTTGTAGCTCTAAACACCATTAGCAGGCTCAGCTCAGCCAGCATTCTGGATGGCGGCTGGCGGAAGCAGCAGAGCATCGTACGGGACGTCTGGCGCGAGGAAATTAACACATGGCGAGGAGAAAAATCCCCCCGCGCGAACCAGGAGCGGGAAGTCCAGCAGGAGTTTATTCGGCTCGGTTCAGCCCGGTTGAAGGTACAAGGATTAGCCAATGGCGACCTAGGAAGCTCATTACATGGAGAGATCGAGTCTCTTATTGCTCCAAGTGCAGCGTCTTCGCGACGACGGTCGCTAGGCGGCGAAGAAAATTCTTTTGGTAAGAGCGCCATACGCACTTCAGCACAACCCCGAGCTGCCGCGGCATACGCAGTTCTCGTACTGAGTCACGCTTTTGTTGTCGCATTGTCTGTCTTCAACAATTGACAGCGAGTCCACCTGTTCATGTGTGTCGCAGAGTTCTTTCCCGACGACAGCTGGGAAATCGTCGATCTTCCGTCGAGCGAACCTCCCCAGCCTCCCCCAGAAGTTCCCAGCGCCGACCCGCCAGATCCGCCCCCCACGGACTCCCCTCGGCCCCCCCCGGGCTACCCGGACGACTCGTTCCCCTTTCCGCCGTACCCCCCGCCATCGCCCAGCGACGGCGACGACAGCCCCTCGCCCGCGCCCGCGCCCGCGTCGCTTCCCAGCCCGCCCGCGGCTCCCGCACCGGCGGTCACGGGCGGCATCGGCGAAGTCGCGTCCGTGTGGTGCCCGCGTTTGCCGCGCCTGCCCGCCGACTACATCGATAACCCGCTCGAGGAGTTTAAAGCCCTCGACGAGGCTATGGCGAAGCTCTACGCGCCGCGCCCAGACGGGCAGTCCATCACTATATGGGTATCGGGACAAAGCTCCCCTGTGACTATATCGAGTATGCCGCCCACATCCGAGCTCCTAGGGCTTGAGACGACGATGCCGCAAATTGAGGGGGTGGGGGAGCCATCAAACCCACACTTGGACCCGTTTTTCACCTCCTCCCTCCCGCCCTTTCCTGCGGTTCCCTTAGACTCTTCGCCGCCGCTTGCTGCTGCTCCTCCCCCTCCGCCTCCGCATTCATTCCCCCCGCCTCCTCCCCCTGACACCTCCTCTCCAGCTTCCGAGTTTCCCCCACCTCTCCCTCCCCCGAACGTCCTTCTCGCCTCTCCTCCGCCTAACCCTCCGCCCTTTCCCCCGCAGTCACCACCTCCCCCGGATCCACCCTCCCCTGGTGGGGGGAATGTGAGTCAACCCAGCGGCCCAGGCAGCAGCTTCCCCCTGTGTAACCCGTCACCCATCCGGTGTGTGTTCAGGTTCGTGGGGTATGAAGACAGAGTGCCAACGCTGGACATTAGCAGTGCTCTGGCAGAGGAGGTGATCAGTCCTGCGCTGGTGGTGTTACGCGGTAACCAGACTCGTCGCGTGGTGGCGGCGAACAGTGGAGAGGGGAGGTCCATTTGCGTTCATGTGCCTGATGAGGTTTACCATGCGACAAGGAGTCAGTTCTACGCCAATGGAGAGGTATGTGCTTGTTGCTATTCCTATTATCTCTGGCTCCTCCTGGTTGATTCTAATACCTGGTAACATATTCCCTTCGTCTGTGGATGGAACCTGTGCAGGTTGTGAGAGTGAGGCAGTTCAATCCACTGAGCTTGAAGAGGGCCTTCGCCAACTCATTTGTTCGTCTGGACATCAATTCAGCTCAAGTAGAAGACGACGGGGGGGTAGTCAACGTTTTTTCCTCAATTGTCAAGGATTCTGAAGGCGACACCATACCACATAAGAAAAGCTGCATTATCTTTCGTTTTAAGGCTTCGTAGCATCTCATTCTCTGCATGGGTTATACGCATTTAGGATTTCTAGGTGGGAGCCGCTCGCTCTCGGACTGCTAGGCTATGTCCATGCTCACATGTACAGTTATGTTAGGCACTATACTTTTGTTTAAAAACGTTTTGTGTGCATTTCTTATCAAACGTCATATCCCTAGGATCTTCTCTGCATTGGCATATCCAGTCACGATTTCTACATTGCCGAAGCGAGAACTCGGTACTACCAGTGTTCCAAAGCGAGAAGTCTCCAATCGAGTACTCCAGTTTCAATGGAGTGGTGTTGTCTGGCTTCACTCGAGATCTGCAGCTCTTGTGCATAGCAGCCCTTGCCTTCCATCCGCCTTCCTCTTCCTCGATTCCTCCAGTTCTCCCTGCAGACCACCATTCTCGCCGCCTGGTTGGTTGAACCTTGCTGTTCTCCGCCGTGAATACACCTTCCTCCTTCCACTATTTTCTTTGTGAATGCTACCCGGAGATTGGTCAGTCGCGGCGTAGTGACTAACGTGTCGGCCAGAATCTATTATTGCTCTTGGGCGTCGCGGCGGTGTTTAGTTCCAGCATTTTCAGGTCCTCCTGTCAAGATCACAGGAATCCCACGCAGTTCCTGTTATACTTTTCACGTGTAGTTCACGACTAGGCCATACAGCAATCATCCCGTTCAGAAATCGTCGGATCTTGTAGTCAACGGGCGAGATTGTTCCCATGATGGTGGAAGTTGCGGGGTGACATGGCATGGCGCGGCGTGCTTGATCGGATCTGGAGGCGACAAGAGCCGGAAGAGGTAATGGAGCGAAATCAGTTGTAGGAAATCGAGCGTGAAAGCAGTGGTAGGGATTGGAGCGTGAAAGAGATCATAGGCAGCATAGCGTTGCTACGCCTGAAACAGGAACGAGATGTATTAGCCAAACCACAATTTCTTCGATCAATGTCGGGCATTTTTCGTAATCTATCCCATTTAGGTCGTCAATCTCCTTCCTCCCATCGTTACTGCCGACATTTCGGCGAGTTAAGCTACCCAGGAATTGATCACCCTTGGATGTACTTTGATTCTCTTCACGTGACGGCTATAGCGTCGATTTCGTTCACACGATGACAATATCGTGGATTTCCTTCACGCGACGCCTTACAATCTCCGTGCGACCACTCCGTCAATCCACTCCGCGTCGCAGATCGACGAAATGGCCGACGCACAAGGCGCGTTCGTCACGCGAGCATTCGAGAAGCTTCTGCGAGAATCCACGGGACGGAAGTTCCAGAAGCTACACCAGGCGCTTAAAGCTTATATAGGTAAGGCAATCTCACAAGCTAGACCAGTCACATACAGCCTGTTTAGATGGGTACAAAACTTTGTGAAAATGCTCGCATTCGTCAATTTATGAGACATCTCAAAACTCCGTCGCGCATAGGAGAGGTATCGATAGAATTTGGGATTCAGGCCAGTTTTCCACCCTGTGCTTGCCTTTCCGCCCGTGCTCGTATCATGACCGGCAGATCGACCAAAAGGGGAGCATTTGGTTCTGGTCACATCAGCATCACGGTCAGTCGCCGATCTCTCTTTCCACTCCCTGCAACCACTTCCCCCCCCCCCCCCTCCCCTCGTTTTCGTTCCTTCAATTATCGTGTGCTCGATCCCCTCAAATGCTTCACTTTCGGACCAATACTGGACGTCGGAGCCGATCCATCCAGTTTGGCCGCCAGATAGGACACACTGCAACACACTTTCTAGTAATCCATTCGAAGAACCAAGTCAATAACATCTCGCAACAACCTCCCAATAAACGTGCGTCTTGGCCCCGCATGAAAACCAATCCGCCACTCTTTTCACATCAGGGTTGATCCTCGCTATGGGTTGCCTCAGACAGACGAACCAGGAGCGGCGGAGATCGTGCCGCAGCCACAGCAGCCGGCGGGGACGATTCCGCTGGAGCCCGCGGGCAGCGGGGAGGGCAGCGGTCGCGCGCACCCGAACACGGCGAACGCGGCGAATGTGACGGCGGCGGCGGCGATGGCGGAGGCGGGGCACTCGCTGGAAGGCGTGGAGGCGGAGCTCATTCTGTGCCCGCTGCGGCTGGCCATAGAGAGCAAGCAGAGCCGCCTCATGGAGACGGCGCTTGACTGCCTGCACGTGAGTGCTCGTTCCGCCTTCCCTTCCCCCTTTCCAACCCCCGCTACCCATCCCTCCTCCCTCCCACCCCCCCCAACCCACGTCCCCCCTTCCCCCATTCCTCCCACTCCCCACTTCCCCACTTTCCTTCCTGGTTGAAGTGCCAAAGAGATTGTTGTCCATAGGAAACGAGCAGAGCCGACTCATGGACAACGGCACTAGACTGCCGGCCTGCTCGATAGTTCTCGGCCTCCGAGACGTCTTATAACGCGTCTGGCCATAGAGAGCGCAAGCAGAGGACGTGGTGTTTGACTGTCGGCATCCGAGTGCGTCCTACCCACTCACCGCTGTCCTGAACATGCGTCTCTATCCCTCTGTGCTTGCGTGTGTGGTGGTTGCTGTGAATCTCCTGGTGTGACTGTAACGGGGCAGAAACTGATATCGTACGGTCATTTGGAGGGCGACTGCGGGCTGGAGGGCGGCAAGAACAACAAAGTGCACACGGAGATCTTCCAGCTCGTGTGCTCCTGCGCCGACAACACTGCACTTGACAGGTGAGCCTGCTGCTGGGCCAAACATCCACGATGTGTGTCACTTGAGGGGCTGGAGGGCGGCAAGAACAACAAAGTGCACACGGAGATCTTCCAGCTTGTGTGCTCCTGCGCCGACAACACTGCACTTGACAGGTGAGAGACGGGCTTTTAGAGGTCTGTGTTGTTCAGTCGCTTGGAGTATTGGAGGGCGGCAAGAACAACAAAGTGCACACAGATATCTTCCAGCTTGTGTGCTCCTGCGCCGACAACACGGCTCTTGACAGGTGAGGCACGGGTCATTTTTGGGTAGAGATCGACGTTTTCCCGTTGCTTGGAAATTTCGAGGGAGGGGGCAGCAACGCAGTACACACGGAGATATTCCAGCTGGTGTGCTCCTGCGCCAACAACACAGCACTTGACAGGTGAGGCATGGAATCGGGTAGATAGAGATTGGTGCTGTCCGGTTGCTTGGGGTAAAGGCACTCTCACGGCAATCGCTCTTTGAGCCTCCTGAAAGCATGTCGCTCCTCAGCGTGATGCTGCAGGTTATCAGGGTCATCCTCCTCACTGTCAACGCCTCTTTGAGACTCTTAGAAAGAGTATATATTATATATAAAATTGTACATCTTCTCCTCTCTCCCCCTTCGTCCTCCGCCCCTCAGCGTGGTGCTGCAGGTCATCAAAGTCATCCTTACTGCCATCGCCTCTTCCACTTTCCAAGGTACGACATTCCAACGTACCCAACCTCTCAACCTCATCCATGAGACAGTTTGGCATCTTGCCTCGTACTATCTCTTTCTCTCTCTCTCTCTCTCTCTCTCTCTCTCTCTCTCTCTCTCTCTCTCTCTCTCTCTCTCTCTCTCTCTCTCTCTCTCTCTCTTTCGCCTTCTGCTCTTCCACGTGCGTTTCCCGCCATCTCCTCACCTTCCATTTTTTAGCCTTCCATCTCAACCCACATTCCTGCGCTTTACATTCCCTCTTCCGCCACAAGTTATGAGTCTACCAAATTCTTTCCCCCTTATATTCCGCCTTCATCATCCTGTTCTCCTCAACCCACCCATCCCTCTCGCCCATCCTTCCCTATGCGTGCCATTCGCCAGTGCATGGAGAGTGCCTGATTCTTGCCCTGCGCACGTGCTACAACATTGTGCTCACCAGGTGCGCTTTTTATCCACATTCGTGTTACTGGCACAGCTTTTTATCGCTGATGCACGGCTTTGAGTTTCAAGCAAGCAGCCCAGGCATCCCATGGCAGTCCTGAATCAAATCCTCGTGCTGGATTTGATTCAAATCAGACAACATCTTTGTCATTCATCCCATCGCATCACGTCACGGTCGCATTCCCGGGACTGCTGCTCTTTCTTTCCTCATCCGTCCTTTCCGCCGTGCCCCTCGCAGCAAGAGCCAGGTGAACCTGTCAACAGCCAGGGGCACGCTCACTCAGATGCTCAACATCGTCTTCAAACGCATGGAGGCATCAGAGCTAGCTGTGAGTCTTATTAGAGCTTGCAGTTAGGAACCACAATGAGAGCGAGGTAGCTGTGAGTCTCATTGGGAGCTAGCATAATCCAAGCCTTCATTTCAAACGTCTCAAGGGGCACGCACACTCTGATGCTCAACATCATCTTCAAACGCATGGAGGCGTCAGAGCTTGCCATGAGTCTTATTCAGAGCTAGTAGCTGCCCCCCCCCTCAGCCTCCAAGTATATCCATATGATGTTTCCACCCCTTCATCCACCCTCTCACGCCCAATCCTTTTTCCACCTCCCCATCCTGTCCCCCTCCCCCTGCCACCCCTCTCTTCGCTCCCAGCGCACTCGCATGCGCAGAGGGCCCCTCAGCGGCCCCACGCCTACCCCATCCCTACCAAGCCCAATCGATTCAACTGAACCCTCCTCCCTCCAACTCCCATCTCACCCCTTCCGTCACCCACATGTGCAGAGCACCCCTCAGCGACCCCACGCCTACCCCACCCCCACCAAGCCCTCCGGGGAGGGGCCTTCTTCGGACGAACCTGCTACTGCCGCTGCTGGTGACGCTGCTGCTGGCGGTGATGCTGCTGCTGATGCTGCTGCTGGCGGTGATGCTGCTGCTGATGCTGCTGCTGGCGGTGATGCTGCTGCTGCTGCTGCTGCTGCTGCTGCAATGGAGGGCACAGAAGGGAAGGAGGGAGGCGGGGAGGGAGAGGAGGAGGGGGAGGTTGAGGGCAACGTGGAGATGGACGAGAGAGCTGGAGTACACGAGGAGCTAAAAGTCCTGGAAGGGCCACAGCCCAGTATAGAGGCTCTAGATGCTGTGCTAAGTAAAGCACTTAGGCCGCAGGGAGGGGGTGCAGGTGGGGATGCTGCTGGAGGTGGTGGTGGTGAGGGTGGTGAAGGGGAGGGGGGTGCTGGGACAGCAGAGGGGAGTGGAGAGGAGGGAGCTGGGGCCACTCCTGCTGCGCCAAAGTGAGTGAGGCTGAGATGTAGTTTGGTTTGTGACTGTATGGAGAGTTATGGTGTGGTAAGGGTGGTGAAGGGGAGGGGGGTGCTGGGTCGGCAGGGGATGGGGGTGGAGATGAGGGAGCTGGGGCGACCCCTGCTGCTCCAAAGTGAGTGAAGTGAAGCTGAGGTTTCGTTTGTGATCGCATAGGGAGGTGTACTGTGGTGTTGGCCCCCATCCCGAAACCTCTCGTCCTCACCAGCAAGTCAAATGACTGCATTGTCTGACAACCTCCCACCCTGTCGCATCATCCTCCCCACCACCACCAGGGGCATCGATCTGAGCCTGCTGGCACTGGCACAGCGGGACGCGCTGCTGGTGTTCCGCACGCTGTGCAAGATGGCCATGAAGGACGGCACCGAGGACCTCGTTCTGCGCACCAAGGCGCTTTCACTCCAGTTGCTGCAGGTGGGTGATGGTTGGTCAGCACGTGGTGGGTTATCTGTGCACTTGTGAGGCGCCCCCAGCACGCCACGCTGTGCAAGATGGCCATGAAGGACGGCACTGAGGACCTCGTGCCGTGCGCCAAGGCTTTGTCTCTCCAGCTGCTGCAGGTGGGTTGTTGTGCCACGTGCTTGTCTCATAGCTCCTGCAGATGGGAGCGGTGGTCAGCACGTGGTGAGTGGGGTACCAGTGGACCTGTGAGGCGCCTCAAAAGGCATCCAGCACGCCATGCCGTGCAAGATGGCGTGCAGTGTATGAGCGGGCGGTGCAGCGTATGAGCGGGCGGTGCAGCGTATGAGCGGGCGGTGCAGCGTATGAGCGGGCGGTGCAACGTATGAGCGGGCGGTGCAGCGTATGAGCGGGCGGTGCAGCGTATGAGCGGGCGGTGCAGCGTACGAGCGTGTGGTGCAGCGTACGAGCGTGCGGTGCAGCGTACGAGCGTGCGGTGCAGCGTACGAGCGTGCGGTGCAGCGTAAGAGCGTGCGGTGCAGCGTACGAGCGTGCGGTGCAGCGTACGAGCGGGCGGTGCAGCGTATGAGCGTGCGGTGCAGCGTACGAGCGTGCGGTGCAGCGTACGAGCGTGTGGTGCAGCGTATGAGCGGGCGGTGCAGCATATGAGCGGGCGGTGCAGCTTATGAGCGGGCGGTGCAACGTATGAGCGGGCGGTGCAGCGTATGAGCGGGCGGTGCAACGTATGAGCGGGCGGTGCAACGTATGAGCGGGCGGTGCAGCGTATGAGCGGGCGGTGCAGCGTATGAGCGGGCGGTGCAGCGTACGAGCGTGCGGTGCAGCGTACGAGCGTGTGGTGCAGCGTACGAGCGTGCGGTGCAGCGTAAGAGCGTGCGGTGCAGCGTACGAGCGTGCGGTGCAGCGTACGAGCGTGCGGTGCAGCGTACGAGCGGGCGGTGCAGCGTACGAGCGTGCGGTGCAGCGTACGAGCGTGCGGTGCAGCGTATGAGCGGGCGGTGCAGCGTATGAGCGGGCGGTGCAGCGTATGAGCGGGCGGTGCAACGTATGAGCGGGCGGTGCAACGTATGAGCGGGCGGTGCAGCGTATGAGCGGGCGGTGCAGCGTATGAGCGGGCGGTGCAGCGTACGAGCGTGCGGTGCAGCGTACGAGCGTGTGGTGCAGCGTACGAGCGTGCGGTGCAGCGTACGAGCGTGCGGTGCAGCGTAAGAGCGTGCGGTGCAGCGTACGAGCGTGCGGTGCAGCGTACGAGCGGGCGGTGCAGCGTACGAGCGTGCGGTGCAGCGTACGAGCGTGCGGTGCAGCGTATGAGCGGGCGGTGCAGCTTATGAGCGGGCGGTGCAGCTTATGAGCGGGCGGTGCAACGTATGAGCGGGCGGTGCAACGTATGAGCGGGCGGTGCAACGTATGAGCGGGCGGTGCAGCGTATGAGCGGGCGGTGCAGCGTATGAGCGGGCGGTGCAGCGTACGAGCGGGCGGTGCAGCGTACGAGCGTGTGGTGCAGCGTACGAGCGTGCGGTGCAGCGTACGAGCGTGCGGTGCAGCGTACGAGCGTGCGGTGCAGCGTACGAGCGTGCGGTGCAGCGTACGAGCGGGCGGTGCAGCGTACGAGCGTGCGGTGCAGCGTACGAGCGTGCGGTGCAGCGTACGAGCGTGCGGTGCAGCGTACGAGCGGGCGGTGCAGCATATGAGCGGGCGGTGCAGCTTATGAGCGGGCGGTGCAACGTATGAGCGGGCGGTGCAGCGTATGAGCGGGCGGTGCAACGTATGAGCGGGTGGTGCAACGTATGAGTGGGCGGTGCAGCGTATGAGCGGGCGGTGCAGCGTATGAGCGGGCGGTGCAGCGTACGAGCGTGCGGTGCAGCGTACGAGCGTGTGGTGCAGCGTACGAGCGTGCGGTGCAGCGTACGAGCGTGCGGTGCAGCGTACGAGCGTGCGGTGCAGCGTACGAGCGTGCGGTGCAGCGTACGAGCGTGCGGTGCAGCGTACGAGCGTGCGGTGCAGCGTACGAGCGGGCGGTGCAGCGTACGAGCGGGCGGTGCAGCGTACGAGCGTGCGGTGCAGCGTACGAGCGTGCGGTGCAGCGTACGAGCGTGCGGTGCAGCGTACGAGCGGGCGGTGCAGCGTACGAGCGGGCGGTGCAGCGTACGAGCGTGCGGTGCAGCGTACGAGCGTGCGGTGCAGCGTACAAGCGTGCGGTGCAGTGACGGCTCTGAAGGACCTTTTGCTGCGCACCAAGGCGTTCCGGCCGCATCCACGGCCTCGCCTGCTCTATCTTCGCCACGCTCATGACCAGCCCTCTCCCTACCCTCTTTCTCCCTCTCCTGGTTTCCCCCATTACCCCCCCACACCTTTTTCAACCCCCCTCTTTCCACTTGTTCCACACTCTCCCCTCCCCCAGGGCCTGTTAGAGTCAGTGAGTCGTAAGTTCACGCTCAACTTCGCCTTCCTGGACTCCATCAAAATGTACCTCTGCTATGCGCTCGTGCTCATGAACCTGTGCGCATTCCCCCCCTTTACCCCCTCCCTCCTTGCAGGGTCTGCTGGACTCAGTGAGCCGCGAGTTCACGCTCAACTTCGCCTTCCTCGACTCCATCAAGATGTACCTCTGCTACGCGCTCGTACGCGCCGCCGTCTCCCCCTCCGACCGCATCCACGGCCTAGCCTGCTCCATCTTCGCCACGCTCATCCAGCGCTTCCGCGAGTCCCTTAAAGCCGAGATCGGGCTCTTCTTCCCCCTCGTCGTCCTCCGGTCACTTGACTCCCCGGATATCACCCCCACCCAACGCCTGGGTCTGCTGAGGGTGCTAGAGCGGCTCACAGCCGAACCACAGCTACTAGCGGATGTTTTCGTGAACTACGACTGTGATTTGGACGCGTCGAATCTGTTTGAGCGTATGGTCACGTCTCTGGAGCGGCTTGCGCAGATGCCTGTGGTGGGGATTGCGGGCGGGGGGCAAGGGGCAGGGGGAGCGGGTGCGGGAGGGGAGGGAGGGGCGGCGCTGGTAGCAGCGGTGAAGCTAGCGGCGTTGCAGTGCTTGGTGAACGTGGTCCATGCGTTGGATGCGTGGTATGGGAAGGATAAGCCGCCTGTGCCGGTTGGTGCGGCGGGTGGGGAGAAGGAGGAGGAAGGGGACGAGTGGAAGGCGGATGGGTTGGGAGTGGTGGAGGAGGAGGAGGAGGAGGAGGAGGATGAGGAGGAGGAAGAGAGGGAGGGGCGGGTGGCGAAGTGGGCGGCAGCAGAGTCCCAGGCGGATCAGTTTGGGCGGGCCAAGGCGCAGAAGGCAGCGTTTGAGACAGCTGTGGAAAAGGTAGGGTGGGAATCTTCAAAGCAATGGTTAGGTCACAGGCGGATCAGTTTGGGTGGGCCAAAGCGCAGAAGGCAGCATTGGAAACCGCTGTGGAAAAGGTAGGAGTGGCATTGCATGCCGTTTTAGGAGGGTGGGAATTTGAACAGCAGCAATTAGGTCAAATTGCTGCGAGATTAATCTGGGCAAGCCAAGGCGCAGAAGGCAGCGCTGGGAACTGCTGTGGAAAAGGTGAGAGCAGCGTTGCACGAGAGCAGCGTTGCACGTTGCACGTCGTTTGAGGAAATGGTGGGGTTATGAGCAGCAACAGATCGCAGGCGGATCAGCTTGGGCGGGGCAAGGCGCAGAAAGCAGTGTTACCTTGACTCATTGGTCGAAGGGCTGCAATAGTGAAGATGACGCTTAAGCAACAGGATCAACAGCAAAAAAAACAGTGTGAAATTCGCAAAACTGAAAAACCCTTTGTCTCCGATCCTTGCCTCAGTTTGGGCAGGCCAAGGCGCAGAAAGCAGTGTTACAGACTGCTGTGGAAAAGGTAAGAGCGGTTTTTCAGGAAATGGTGGGGATTTGATCAGCAGCATGAAGTTCAGATCGCAGGCAGATCGGTTTTGACAGGTTGGGGCGCAGAGGGCAGTGATGGAAACTGCACTGGACAAGGTAGGAGAAAGCAATGTTGAGACTTTTCACACTGCAGCACCCTCCCCTGCTCCTAAAGTTCACATGAAGCCAGAGAAGGGGCTGGCGGCTGGCATTCCTTTTCCGTCACCGGCATTTTCCACCCGTCCCAACCCACTCCATCGCCACCCACCCTTCTTCTTCCCACCCAGTTTAACATGAAGCCAGAGAAGGGGCTGGCGTTCCTGCAAGTCCAGCACTCGCCTTGTCTCAAAGCGCCAACTTCTGCCCCTTTCCACCCCTTCCTCACCCCTACCCACCCGTCTCCACCCGTCCGCACTCTCACCTGTCCCTACCCTACAGTTCAACATGAAGCCAGAGAAGGGGCTGGCGTTCCTGCAACCGCACCATGTGCCTTGTTTCTAGGCATCTAGAACCCTCTCCCATTCTCACCCCTCTCAACCCTTTCCAACCCCAATCCACCTCGCCCAGTTCAACATGAAGCCGGAGAAGGGGCTGGCGTTCCTGCGGACACGAGGGCTCCTGGCCGCTGATGCTGCTGCCACAGCCGCCCACCCGTCCCCACCCCTCCTCACCTCTGCCCACCCCTCTCCACCCTTCCCCACCCTCCCCTTACCCAACAGTTCAACATGAAGCCGGAGAAGGGGCTGGCGTTCCTGCGGACACGAGGGCTGCTGGCTGCTGATGCTGCTGCCACGGCTGAGTTCCTGCGCTCCACCCCTGGGCTCGATAAGGTGAGAGGGAGTGCGAAACGGTGTGAGACGGTGAAGAGGAGTTGATAAGGTTAGCAGGGGATGGAGTGGGGGGCAGTACCATGCGAACCACGGCTGAGTTCCTGCACTCCACTTCCGGGCTCAATAAGGTGAGGGACGCTGTGAAATGGTGTGGGACAGTGGGAGATGGTGTGGTACCGGAACAGCATGCTTGCAGAGGTGATCAGGTGGTGAGGAACAGCTTCACGCCCCTTGTATGCCTTGGTGGTGGGTGGCAGGCATTGCCATGCACGCCACTCAGCCAGCATCTAATGACACACACACACACATCTGCGCTCCTCCTCCCCCCGTCCGCCCCTCCTCCCTCTCCATCCATGTCTCTCCCTCCAGACGGCCATAGGGGACTACCTGGGCCATCACGACGACTACCACCTGGCAGTGATGCAAGCATATGTTGACGTCCTGTTCCCTGTTCCTTATATTCCCACCGTTCCCCGCCCTTCTGTACGTGTTGCTCCCTCCAGACGGCCATAGGCGACTATCTGGGCCATCACGACGACTACCACCTGGCGGTGATGCATGCATACGTGGACGGCATTCCCTTCAGATCCCTGTCTCATTACATGCCTCCTCTTCCCCTGTTTCTCCTCTGTGTGTATGGTGTGCCGCGTGTGTGTGGCTCTCCACCAGACGGCCATAGGGGACTACCTGGGCCATCACGACGACTACCACCTGGCAGTGATGCACGCCTATGTGGACGGCATTCCCTTCCACAGCACCTCCTTCGACCACGCCATCCGCACCTTCCTCAAGGGCTTCCGCCTCCCGGGGGAGGCGCAAAAGATCGATCGCATCATGGAGAAGTTTGCAGAGAAGTGAGTCTTGGTGCTTGGCAGACACATGGGATTGACCAGTGTGAAGCGTGACCGGGTGGTTGGTTCCTTGGCTGGCCAAAAAGCACCTTCCTCAAGAGCTTCCGTCTCCCGGGGGAGGCACATAAGATCGATCGCATCATGGAGAAGTTTGCCGAGAGGTGAGTGTGTTTGAGAAGTGGGTATTGGTGATTGATTCTGCTGCAAAGTCGAAGAGCACCTTTCTCAAGGGCTTCCGCCTGCCGGGCGAGGAAGATCGGTTGGTCGCATCATGGAGAAGTTTGCAAAGAAGCGAGTGAGAGTGGCTGAGGAGGGAGTGAGTGAGTGTGGTTGACAAGTGAGTGAAGGGGGGTAGCCAGAGCTTTGAGGGCGTGCCTCTGACAATTGGGGCTTCTGGCTCCCGGGGGAGGCGCAGAAGATCGATCGCATCATGGAGAAATTCGCCGAGAAGTGAGTCTTGGTACTTGGCATTTTCATGGGATTGTCTGTTGCCGAGAAGTGAGTGGTTGGCTGAGGAGTGGGTCCGGCTTGTTCAGAAGTGAGTGAAGGGGTTACTTCTGGCAAGAAGGGGCTTCCGTCTCCCCAGTGATCATGCTCATGCCCGCAACCCTTTCTCTCCATTCCCCCTCCTCCCCTGCCCTTAACCCCGCACTCCCCAGGTACTGCAAGGACAACTTAGGAGTGTTTAAAACGGCAGACAGCGCCTACGTGCTGGCGTACGCAATGATCATGCTCAACACAGACGCCCACAACCCCGTGGTGACCGCCAAGATGACCAAAGCCGACTTCGAGCGCATCAAATTGTCCCTCGAGAGCGAGGAGAACGCTCCTAAGGAGCTCCCAGAGGCGATCCAAGGAACTCGTCCCTCCAGGGCGAGGGCGAGGAGAGCGCTCCTAACTGCTCCTCTCCATCCCCCCTTCTTTCCGCCCTCACCCCCTTTCCCCCCCACCCACACCACCCTTCACAGGTACTGCAATGACAATCAGGGGGTGTTCAAAACAGCAGACAGTGCCTATGTGCTGGCGTACGCAATGATCATGCTCAACACAGACGCCCACAACCCCTCTATTCCACCCCCTCCGCTCCACCCCCTTCCGCAGATACTGCAAGGACAACCCGGGAGTATTTAAGACAGCAGACAGCGCGTACGTGTTGGCCTACGCAGTGATCATGCTCAACACAGACGCACACAACCCCGTGGTGACCGCCAAGATGACCAAAGCCGACTTCGTGCGAATCAACTCATCCCTCGAGGGCGAGGAGAGCGCGTCTAAGGAGCTCCTAGAGGCCATTTATGACTCAATAGTCTCCGAGGAGATTAAACTAAGGGATGATGGCGGTCCGGGGGGTGCTGGAGGGGGTGGAGCGGGCGGGGCAGGCGGGAAGGAGAAAGGGCAGCTGGTAACCGTGCTGAATCTGGCATCGGGGCATAAACGCAGCACGGTGGATGTGCGGAAGGAGAGTCACGATATAATCAAGCGAACGCAGGCGATTGTGAGGAGAGGGCGGGTGCAGCGCGGGGTGTTTCACTCCGCTGCCCATGCTGACCTCGCTCGGCCCATGCTGGAGGCGGTAGGATGGCCTCTGGTCGCCACGTTTGCTGTGACCATGGAGGAAGGTCCGTCGGTAGAGAGTGCCGCTGCAGTGGCTGCTCTAGCGGCAGGGGGTGGGGGGCCGAAGAGTCTGGTGGTGGTGTGCATGGACGGGCTCCGCTGTGCGATTCACCTGGCGTTTCTCCTGGGCATGGAGACTCTCCGCTACGCCCTCCTGACCTCGCTCGTCCGCTTCACTTTCCTGCACGCGCCGAGGGAACTCCGGGTGAAGAACCTAGAGGCGATCCGGACGCTGCTGGCGATAGCAGAGCAGGAGCCAGAGGCGCTGCAGGACACGTGGAATGCTGTGCTGGAATGCGTGTCCAGGCTGGAGCATGTTGCCACGTCACCTGCCATGCTGGCGGTGCTGGGCGCGCCGCCCGTGCCGCCGGCGGTGAGGGAGGCGTTGTTGGGCGGTGTGGAGGAGCTGGCGGGGAAACCACTGGAGCAGGTGCGGTGGGGGGGGGGGGAGGGTGGGAAGTGCTGGGCCGGGAGGGTGGGCGGGGCGTGGTTGGGCCGTTGGAGCAGGTGGTTGGGGGGGGGGGGGGAGGAATTGCTGGAGCAGGTGGGTAGGGCGTTGGTGAGCTTGTTCCCTGCTTGGTTTCGTTGGGTAGGTCGCTCCTTGAATAGTAATCTCTGCTGTGGTTGCCACTTCATCACTCCCTCCCTCCCTGCCTTGGAACCATTGCCTTTCATTCCGCCTCTCATCCTCCCTGCGTAGGACTCACTTCTTCATTTCTTGCCATGTGCCCCGCCCCATCGTCATCTACTACCCCATGTGATGCTACCCATCTTTCGCCCCCTTTTCCACAGGTGTTTGTGGTGAGCTCGCGCCTGCCCTCAGACGCCGTGGTAGAGTTCTTCATCGCTCTCTGTGGTGTGTCCGCAGAGGAGCTCCGCCAGTCGCCCCCGCGGGTGTTCTCACTGCAGAAGATCGTGGAGATCTCCTACTACAACATGACGCGCATTAGAATGGTGGGTGTGGTCACGGTGGTAGCTCACAAGGTGCTAGAGTCTCCCCCAGCACCCAAGACACGTGGTAGGTATTCTCGCTGCAGAAGATCGTGGAGATCTCCTACTACAACATGACGCGCATCCGCATGGTGCGTTTTGAATCGAGGCACGCGTGTGTGTGGGTGGTAGCCCACAAGGTGCCTGAGTTCCCCCCAAGCACTCAAGACACGTGAGTACGTTTGATGGCCTCCATGGGCGGGTGTTCTCGCTGCAGAAGATCGTGGAGATCTCTTACTACAACATGACTCGCATCCGCATGGTGTGTGAGGGGTCCCCTTGCTCATCCGCATGGTGTGTGAGGGGTCCCCTTGCTCATCCGCATGGTGTGTGAGGGTTCCCCTTATGCTCATCCGCATGGTGTGTGAGGGGTCCCCTTGGTCATCCGCATGGTGTGTGAGGGGTCCCCTTGCTCATCCGCATGGTGTGTGAGGGTTCCCCTTGCTCATCCGCATGGTGTGTGAGGGTTCCCCTTATGCTCATCCGCATGGTGTGTGAGGGGTCCCCTTGCTCATCCGCATGGTGTGTGAGGGGTCCCCTTATGCTCATCCGCATGGTGCGTGAGGGGTCCCCTTATGCTCATCCGCATGGTGTGTGAGGGGTCCCCTTGCTCATCCGCATGGTGTGTGAGGGTTCCCCTTATGCTCATCCGCATGGTGTGTGAGGGGTCCCCTTGGTCATCCGCATGGTGTGTGAGGGGTCCCCTTGCTCATCCGCATGGTGTGTGAGGGTTCCCCTTGCTCATCCGCATGGTGTGTGAGGGTTCCCCTTATGCTCATCCGCATGGTGTGTGAGGGGTCCCCTTGCTCATCCGCATGGTGTGTGAGGGGTCCCCTTATGCTCATCCGCATGGTGCGTGAGGGGTCCCCTTATGCTCATCCGCATGGTGTGTGAGGGGTCCCCTTGCTCATCCGCATGGTGTGTGAGGGTTCCCCTTGCTCATCCGCATGGTGTGTGAGGGGTCCCCTTGCTCATCCGCATGGTGTGTGAGGGTTCCCCTTGCTCATCCGCATGGTGTGTGAGGGGTCCCCTTATGCTCATCCGCATGGTGCGTGAGGGGTCCCCTTATGCTCATCCGCATGGTGTGTGTGGGTGGGGTGGCAATTGAATGGCACGTGTGGGCAGGACACGTGGGTGCACTCCAAGGCCCCCGCAGGTGGGTATTCTCACTGCAGAAGATCGTTGAGATCTCCTACTACAACATGACTCGCATTCGAATGGTGAGTTTTGAGTCAAGGCATATGTGTGTGGCCCACAAGGTGCTTGAGTTTTCCTCCAGCACTCAAGGCTCCTGGGTGCACTTGAACGCCTTTGCAGGCGGGTATTCTCACTGCTGAAGATCGTGGAAACCTACTACAACATGACTCGCATTTGATTGGTGCGCGAGAGATCCATTAGAGTCTTGTGGGCGTCAGCATGGTGTGTCTGGCTGGGGGATTTCGAAATCGACTCAAGATTCGCTTTGAGTCAGCTCAAAGTCGCTTTGAGCCGACTTAAAAGTCATTGAGGGATGGGCGTCAGATATGTATGTCTCGGCGGTTGGATGCATCAGATTGGTCTGTCATCTCGCGTGGGGGACAAGGCATGTCTTGCAGTGGCACCATTGCAGCTCTTTCAGCCTGAAGCTTTTTCCTTTCCCGTGCCCCGCAGTGGGGCCGCACATCTGGGTGTTGCTGCTGGAACTGTGTTGAGACATCTCAACTCACTCCCCTCTTTTTCCCTTTTCCCCTCCCCTCTCCCTTCCCCTGCAGGTGTGGGCGCGCATCTGGTCGGTGCTGGCGGTGCATTTCATCACGGCCGGGCAGAACCCCGACGAGCACGTCGCCATGTACGCCGTCGACTCCATCCGCCAGCTGGCGCTGAAATACTTGGAGCGCGCTGAGCTGGCGCGCTTCACGTTCCAGAACGACATCCTGAAGCCGTTTGTGGTGCTCATGCGCACGAGCCGCAGCGAGAAGACGAGGGAGCTCATCGTGCAGTGCGTTGTTCAGGTAAGGGGGTTGGGGTTGTGGGTATCACATTTCTATGTGCGCCTGTTTGTGGTGTTCATGCACACGAGCCGGAGTGATGGGTCTAGGGAGTTCATCGTGCAGTGGGCCATGCAGGTAACTGTTCTCGCAGTTGTGTGTCCATGAGCTTCTCATCCCCTTCCCTCTGCCCCACTCTCGTCACCTCTGTACACTTACGTTTCCCCCCACTCGTCCTTCCTCTCACTCCCGTCCCTCCCCCCCACCCCCCCGTTCTTTCCCCCTTGGCATTGCTCTTTGTTGATCCGGGTGAAGGTGGCCAGCATTTAAAGCTCTGAATGAAAAGCATTCCTCTTTGCTCTTTGCTCTTTTTTTCCCCTCTGCCTTTCTCGGACTGCACATCATCACCCCACCCCCACACACTTGGCCCTGCTCTCAAACCTCAAATTTCTTGTCCCCCCCCCTCCACCGTGTTCATGGTGCTCACTGCCGCCGCCACCTAGAGCCTTCAGCTGGTCATCCCCTGTCCTCTGTCCATCCCCCTCACCTCCCACTCAACTCTTCCTCTCACTCACCTCCCTCTCGCACCGCTCTTTCACTTATTGGTGGCACCACCATCAGATGATAAAGGTGAAGGTGGGTGGCATCAAGAGCGGGTGGCGCAGTGTGTTCATGGTGCTCACTACTGCCGCCACTGACACCCATGAGCCCATTGTGGACAGCGCCTTTGAAACTGTGGAGCAGGGTGAGTTGAGGAGGGCGAGTTGATGTGACTTAAACGTTAACTTGCTGGGTGTTTCTGCTCGTATAGCTTGAGGGATGCTGCACTGACAGCCACGAGCCCATTGTGGAGAGCGTGTTGGAGACGGTGGAGCAGGGTGAGTTGGGTAGGGTGGCCAGAGGTTAGAGGTTGATTCAACAGGGTGGGCTGGCTTGACTGAGTTCGCATATGCCTGCCACCAACAGCCACGAGCCCATAGTGGAGAGCACCTTTGAGACCGTGGAGCAGAGTGAGCAGGAGAGTGTGGGTGGGAGGGTGAGTGTGGGAGGGTGAATGTGGGAGGGTGAATGTGGGAGGATGAGTGTGGGAGGGTGAGTGTGGGAGGGTGAGCGTGGGAGGGTGAGCGTGGGAGGGTGAGCGCGGGAGGGTGAGCGTGGGAGGGTGAGCGTGGGAGGGTGAGAGTGGGAGGGTGAGCGTGGGAGGGTGAGCGTGGTGATAGGCGCCTGCTTTACGGACTGCGTCAACTGCCTCCATCTGCCATGCCCCTCTTAACTCACCGATTTCACATCCTGCATATTTCTCCCCCACATGTCTCTTCCATCCCCCCAGTGGTGCTCGAGCATTTCGAGCAGGTGATAGGAGACTGTTTCATGGACTGTGTCAACTGCCTCATGGCCTTCGCCAACAACGTCCTCGTCCCCCGCATCTCTCTCAAAGCCATTGCACTCCTCCGAATCTGCGAGGACCGTTTAGCAGAGGGCCGCGTCCCGGGAGGCGCCCTGCGCCCTGTGAACGAAGGCGAGAAGATGAGTGACAATGAGGTGGCGGAATATTACTGGTTCCCGATGCTCGCCGGGTTGTCCGAGCTGACTTCCGACCCTCGCCCGGAGGTTCGGAGCTGCGGCGTGGAGGTTCTGTTTGATCTGCTTCGGGAGAGGGGGCACAAGTTTTCGACGCGGTTCTGGGAGAGTGTGTTTGAGAGGGTGCTGTTCCCTATCTTTGACTATGTGCGGCACGCCGGCACGGATGGGGAGAGGCCTCCCCCCACGGACCTCTGGCTGCGAGACACGTCTATTCACTGCCTGCACCTGCTCTGCGACCTCTTCTGCGACTTCTACAAGGTGGGTTGGTAGGGCTTCAGGTGCGTTACAGTGTGGTGCGGTGTGGTGTGGTACGTTTGGGGAGAGGTCACCCCCCACGGATCTCTCGCTGAGAGACACGTCCATTCGCTGCCTGCACTTGCTCTGTGACCTCTTCTGTGACTTCTACCAGGTGGGTTGGTAAGGCTTCAGGCTCTTTATTGTGTAGCCAGTCCATTAGTTTCTCTGCTACTCTAATCTGCCTCCCCATCCCTCCGCCCCCTCCCCCCGTCACCCCTCAGGACGTGGCCTTCATCCTGCCGTCCCTGCTCGGCCTCCTCCTCGACTGTGCCACGCGCCCCGACCAGTCACTGGCGGCCATAGCGGTGGGCGCTCAGCTGAGGCTCATCGACAGGGGGGCGCCACTCTTCTCCTCCCGTGACTGGGCCGTGCTGCTGGACAGCCTCAGGTGGGTTGCTGTTCTGTGTGTGGGATGAAGGTTGAACAGCCTCAGGCGGGGGATACCGGGGTGGGCGCTCAGCTGAGGCTCATCGACAGGGGGGCGCCACTCTTTACCTCCCGTGACTGGGCCGTGCTGCAGGACAGCCTCAGGTGGGTTGTTGTTCTGTGTGGGGGGGATCAAGCACATTCGGCCAACAAATGAGGATGAAATTTGGGGATCCTCTATGTCTAGCATGACTGGTTTCGAAGTCGAGGAGCTGTGGGACTGTGTGGTGCTGCTGCTGGATATGCACAGCACAGCTCCACTTAGTGATTATGGTGCAGTGTTCAACAAGTACAAAGAGCAGAGGTTTCTAGAAGCTGCAAGCACTACTGTTAGAGGGCCATGCTTGCCTCCCCAATACGTCTTACCTCCCCACCCACCTTCTTCCCTCCCCATCCCACCCCAACCCAGAGTTGCCACGCTAACCACTAGGCCCACCGAGCTTCTCGCAATCACTGAAGCCTCTCTTGCTGCCTCTGCCGCTGCCGCCGCCACCGCCGCTGCTGCTGCTGGCGACACCGCTGCTGCCACCGCCGCCACTGCAGCAGCCACTGCTGAGCTGTCATTAGACAACGCTGTGCTGGAATCTGGCGCTGCTGACCTGGCGGATCACGCATCAGGCTCGGCGATCCGTACCAAGATTCCCACTGGTGATGTGGCGACGAGCCTGATGGGTCCGAACCTGAGTGAGAGGTTCGTGGCCGCGCCTGGAGGTGTGACTGTAACTGAAGTAGTGACTGCAGTGGATGTGACTGCAACGAATGGAGGGGCGGAGGGAGGAGGGGAGGGAGGAGAGGATAACGGGGTGGTGGACAGGAGTGGGGCGGATGAGGAGGCGAGCGGTGGGGAGGGGAAGGGCGAGGACGACGGGAAGGTGGAAGGAGAGGGGTTGGTGAACGGTGAGGGGACTGCCATCAAGCCTTCAGGTGAGTGCAGCTAGCTACCCTTGTTATGTTTCCGCAGAGCACACACCCACACACAACCCTTGTTATTTTCCGCAGAGCACACACCCACACACAACCCTTGTTATGTTTCCGCAGAGCACACACCCACACACAACCCTTGTTATGTTTCCGCAGAGCACACACCCACACACAACCCTTGTTATGTTTCCGCAGAGCACACACCCACACACAACCCTTGTTATGTTTCCGCAGAGCACACACCCACACACAACCCTTGTTATGTTTCCGCAGAGCACACACCCACACACAACCCTTGTTATGTTTCCGCAGAGCACACACCCACACACAACCCTTGTTGCTGCAGCCACTGTTGGTGGTGCTGCTGCCGCTGCTGGTGCTCCTGCTGCTATGCTGACAGACCTGTTTCTCCCACTCCCTGCCCCCACACCTCCCCCTCACCTCCCCCTACCCCCCTCCAGTGTCAACCGAGGGTGACAACTTTGGCAAGCGACTGATGGACTCCATGGCGCTGGGGGGCGCGCCCACGCCTGCTGCTGGCGCCACTGCTGCTGCCGCTATTGTTGGTGCTGCTGCGGCTGTTGCTGCTGCTGCTGCTGACAGGCCTGCCTCTCCCACTCCCTGCCCCCGCACCTCTTTCCCGTTCTCCCACCACAGCATCAGCCGAGGGCGACAACTTTGGCAAGCGCCTGATGGACACGCTGCTGCTGCGCAACCTCTCCATGGCGCTGGGGGGCGCGCCCACGCCCGCTGCTGGGGGGAGCGGCAGCATCTGGTCGCGTGCGTCCAACGCAAGTGACGCTGCCCTGGCCTCTGCTGTGGAATCCGAGGTGAGTGCGTGCTGGAATCCCCACTGTTTCTTGCTGTGGACGATTGAGAGATTGCTACACTGCACGTAGGTGTGGAGATCTCTCCATGGCTCTGGGGGGTGCGCCCACGCCCGCTGGCAGCATCTGGTCACGAGCCTCCAATGCCAGTGACGCTGCCCTGGCCTCCCTGTGGAATCCGAGTTGAGTGCATACCAGGTCTTACCATAAAGTTTGTGCCTTGTTTGTATTCAAAGTCTTTCCATGGTGCTGGGAGGCATGCCCACACCCGCTACTGGGGGGGGTGGCAGCATCTGGTCACGAGCCTCTAACGCCAGCGATGCTGCCCTGGCCTCTGCTGTCGAATCCGAGGTGAATGCGTGCCTGCATCCACTAACCTTCTTAATGTCCTTTGCACCCACTGCCCTTTGGACCCACTGCCCTTTGCACCCACTGTCCTTTGCACCCACTGCCCTTTGCATCCACTGTCCTTTGCACTCACTGTCCTTCATATCATTTCCCTGTCTCCCCTGTTTGTCCCAACAGGAGCAAGGTGAGGGGGCCAAGGAGGAGGAGGAGGAAGAAGAGGAGGACGAGGAGGCATCCGCATTCCCCGTGGCAGACCCTGTGCGGGTGAAGTGCTACACGCAGCTGCTGCTGCTGGGGGCGCTCAATCAACTGCAGGTGTGTGTGGGTTGAACCAGCTGCATTTGCGAGAGGGGCATTCCCTATGGCAATCGCACCTTGTGCGAGTCAAGTGCTACACGCAGCTGCTGCTGCTGGGGGCGCTCAATCAAATGCAGGTGTGTGTGGGATGGCTTGTATGAGACGCCCCATTAGGAGAAGCTCTGGCAGCACCTGCGGCCATCTCCCACAGTTAGTCTTGTCAGGTGCCACCGTCAGCAACTGTTGTTGAACTGCATTCTGAACTGATGCTCTCCCCGTGTGTCCTCCCCACCTCGCGCCCCACCTCTCACCTCTTCAGGAGAAGCACTGGCAGCGGCTGCGGGCAGCGCACCGGCGGCAGCTGTTGGACTGCATCGCCACCAGCATTGACTTCGCCGCCCGCTTCAACTCTGACACGCACCTCCGCATGCGCATCCAAATGCTGCCGCCCGAACGGTGCGCTCCGCCCCATGCTTCTGCAGGATTCCCTATTTTGCTGTTCGCAGCTTGCACCGTTGCACTTGTGTGTTGCACTTGTGTGTTGCGCTGTGGACCTCTTGTCTCCGCTGTGATCATCTTCTCTTCTGCCCTGTGTTTCCCTTATCCGTCTCGCTGTGATCATCTTCTCTTCTGCCCTGTGTTTCCCTCATCCGTCTCGCTGTGATCATCTTCTCTTCTGCCCTGTGTTTCCCTCATCCGTCTCACTGTGATCATCTTTTCTTCTGCCCTCTGTTTCCCTCATCTGTCTCGCTGTGTTCATCTTCTCTTCTGCCCTGTGTTTCCCTCATCCGTCTCGCTGTGATCATCTTTTCTTCTGCCCTCTGTTTCCCTCATCTGTCTCGCTGTGATCATCTTCTCTTCTGCCCTGTGTTTCCCCCATCCGTCTCGCTGTGATCATCTTCTCTTCTGCCCTGTGTTTCCCTCATCCGTCTCGCTGTGTTCATCTTCTCTTCTGCCCTGTGTTTCCCTCATCCGTCTCGCTGTGATCATCTTCTCTTATGCCATGTGTTTCCCTCATCCGTCTCGCTGTGGACAAACAACCCCATCCCTCTCGCCCTCGCCTCTTTCTGTCTCGACGACCCTGTAGTCTTCGTGCTGCCTTTGCTTTCCCTCCCGTGTCAATCTCGCATGAGTCTTGCGATTTTGCTCCCTCTCGCCATCCCTGTTGCGTCAGAAGGTCATGGCAACCCAGCTTCACCTCATTGTGCTGTTAATGCTGCGCTGACTCAACTTCCCTGCCCCCCTCCCTCCTCCCTCGCTTGCCTTGTCCTTCCTCCACTCCCCTTTTCTTCCCCGTACAGTCCTCCCCCATCCCTGCTACGACAGGAGGTGACAGCAACGCAGCTGTACCTGATTGTGCTGCTGCGCTGCCTCAACGACCCCACTCTCTCCCTCCTCCCGTCCATGCCTTGTCCCCCAACCCTCAGGGCCCCACCCCTGCATTTCTCTCCGAGCAGTCCTCCCCTGTCCCTCCTTCGCCAGGAGGTGACAGCAACGCAGCTGTACCTGATTGTGCTGCTGCGCTGCCTCAACGACCCCACTCTCTCCCTCCCTGCTCTCTCGCCCTTCCCTCCTTGCCTTGTCCTTCCACTCCCCCATTCCGTGAACCCCACCGTTTCAGCCCTCCCCCATCCCTGCTGCGCCAGGAGGTGACAGCAACGCAGCTCTACCTGATCGTGCTGCTGCGCTGCCTCAATGAATCAGCATTCTCCCCCCTCCCTACCATACCTTCTCCCCCAACCCCCACCCCTGCGTTCCGCTCCACACAGCCCTCCCCCGTCCCTGCTATGCCAGGAGGTGACAGCAACGCAGCTCTACATGCGCTGGCTCAACGACCTGTTCTCCCCCCCTCCCTCCTTGCCTTGTTCCCACCCCAACCCCCACCGTACCCCCGCTTTTCCCCTCCAAGCAGCCCGCCCCCATCCCTGCTGCGCCAGGAGGTGACAGCAACGCAGCTCTACCTGATTGTGCTGCTGCGCTGTCTCAACGACCCGGCAGCAGCGCTGCTGCCACCAGCCCTCTCCTCCCAGATGCTGCTGCAGTCGGGGGCAGCCCACGGGGACGGCGCAGGGGAGGGGGAGGAGCATGTGCATGGGAAGCCAACCCCTTTAGCAGCAGCAGCAGGAGTGGAGAGAGCAGCAGCAGGAGTGGAGAGAGCAGCAGCAGCAGCAGGGGTGGGAGAAAACGGGGGAGCTGTGGCGAAGGGGGGAGCAGCAGGGGGTGGGGGAGAGCGAGAGGGGGGTGAGGAAGAGGAGGAGGAGAGGAGGCGGTTGGGGGAGGAGGCAGAGGAGCAGCTGCTTCGGGTGTGTGGGAGGGTGCTGGAGATGTCGTCTCGTCTGCAGCCCAACACAGGGCAGGCCGTAGAGGCCGAGGTGCATCGCCTGCTAGCGCTGCGGGCGCCTGTTGTTGCCAGAGTGAGGGAGGGAGGGAGGGAGGGAGTGAGGGAAGGAGGGAGGGAGGGAGGGAGGGAGGGAGGGAGTGAGGGAGGGAGGGAGGGAAGAAGGGAGGGAGTGAGGGAGGGAGGGAAGAAGGGAAGGATGTTTTGGGGGGGGGGGGGAGGATGGGGAGGGTGCAAGAGTGCATGGAGGCTGGGTGGAGAATCACATGTGATTTTTGTTTAGGGTACTAGTATGTTCCGCCTTATTCTGAGTGTGTCATGCCATATTCCGTGCTGCCACACCAGCCCCCCAGGTGCTGTCGGCGCTAAGTCAAATGGGCGTGTTACCTGTATGCCCCGCCTCATTCTGAATCTGTCACACTGTATTTCGTGCTGCCATACAATCACCCCAGGTGCTGTCAGCACTGAGACAGATGGACGTGGCCGACCTTGTGGGGGCTTGGTGTGACATTGGCGCTTCGTGCCGCACCTGGTGTTGAGTGTGTCACACAGTCACACTGTAATCTGTGCTGCCAATGCCATACCATCCCTCCAGGTACTGTCAGCGCTGAGTCAGATGGACGTGGCTCGCTTCGAGCGCTTTGTGCCGCACCTTTACCCACACTGCACCCGTCTCATCTGCTCCGACCAGGTACCACCTCCCCTGGTAGGTCTGTTCCTTCCAGGTGCCACCTCCCCCAGTAGCTCGCTTTGAGCGCTTTGTGCCGCACCTGTACCTGCAGTGCACGCGCCTCATCTGCTCCCACCAGGTACCACCTCCCTCGGTAGGTTCTTTCTATTCTCAGCACCACCTTTCCCAGCAGGTGCCACCTCCCACAGTTAGTCTTGTAGGTGCCACCTCCATTTTTTGCTGCGTTCACATTTTTCGGAATCCTGACTCATTAGTGTCTCGTGCGCCTCTCCTCTCCTCCCTCCCGCACTTCCATGCTCTTCTCCCCTCCTGTCCTTCCTTGTTCCTCGTCCTCTCGCTCCCCCTCACGCATCTCGCTCCCCCCTACCACAAACCCCTCCCTCACTCCTCCCTCCCACACCTCCCTCACTCTTCCCTCTCATCCTCCTGCACTCCTCCCACTCACCCCACCGTGCCATTCTCTTGTGCATTTCCCACCGACCAAGTGGGGGAGAGGAAAGCTCTTTGCGATCTTTTTGAAGGCCAGGCTCACTCCTCCGTCCCCTCAATCTTCCCTCACCCCTCCTGCACTCCTCCCTCTCACCCCTCCTGCACTCCTCCCTCTCACCCCTCCTGCACTCCTCCTTCTCACCCCTCCGTGCCTCTTCACCTGTGCATCTCCCACCAACCAGGTGGAGGTGAGAAAGGCTCTTGGGGATCTCTTCAAGGCTCGCCTCACTCCTCTTATTCCAGGCTCCGATGCACCTTCCCCTCCCATGACGGCTTCCGCGTAACGTCGCTCATGTCATCCACAAGTTATTTGTTCCTCTTTAACATCGAAGCTGCTTAGCTTGGGGTCGCTTGGGTCACTCTTGCTTCATTCAATCACGAGCCAAACAAGATCATATTGATTCTAATGCTGGCATGGAAAAGCAAACAAAACAATATCCGGGCTGGAAGGGAAACATGGGGCATGCTGCTTCGTTACGCTAGATGCTCAGACGAGGCTCTACTGGATGAACTAGTGGCGTGTAAGCAATGTATTCCTGTTGCCATGGATGGGGTCTTGGATTTATGTTCAAATTTTTGTGAAAAAATAATGACATACCGTTTTTTCTTTGTGTTAAAACCCAAGACCTGAATTGCTCAACGCAAGTCATCACCGGGCAAAACTGTGGGCTGTGGGAGGCAAACTGTGCACAGTTTGCCTTCGTTTTTTTGTAATTCGGGTCTTGGGCTTTAAAACCGGGGTGCACATTCAGCTGAATGTGCATCAAAGGTTATCCCTTGACTGAGTGGGTTACGAGGTGTGCTTTCAACCCCTTCAAGTCGAAATTCGTTTCCCCCCTCCCCCGCAATTTCGTTTCCCCACGCCCCCGCAATTTCATTTCCCCCTCCCCGTCGAAATTCGTTTCCCCCCTCCCCCGCAATTTTGTTTCCCCCCTCCCCCGCAATTTCGTTTCCCCCCCCTCCCGCCAATCTGTTTCATCCCTCCCGCCATTCGGTTTCACCCACTCCCGCCATTTCACCCCCTCCCGCCACCTACGAAATGCCCGAAGCTCTAGCGGAATCATTTTTTTGTCGCCCCTCGTGAGCCAATCACTGTTTTTCTCCAAACCCCCTTCCCAACATCTCAAGCCGAACGTTGAATGTGCACCCTGGTTTTAAATCCACTCCAACAGAAAAGGCCAACACATTCATGTAAATGATCACAATGCAGATCAGCAACTTGATTGCCGAGTTGAGATGTTGTTCGTCTCACGCATGACTCGGATGCTCCACATTGGTGCTTGTCCGTTTTGCTTGTCCTTGCACTGTAGATCACTCGGATGAAAAATCACGTGGAGCGTGCAATTCCAATTCCAAACCTTGACCTCGACTGCTTCACACCTTTGGTGCCTTGTGCTCACTGCTCCGCTGCTGTGTCACCCCACCACATGGGCATTTCTTCATGCTGACTGGGCCCACTTAAGGGCGTGTCTGAAGTGAATTTCGACGTTTGCCGACGAAACTCTCGTCGACGTTCCTTGACGAAACTCGACATCCGTTTTCAGCTGTGTTCACTTCAGACACCCACACGACAAAATAACCCACACGTGCCATAGGAACACTGTTATAAGTTGCCCATGAAAATTCGACGTGGAATTAACAGAATCATTCATGTAACTCAATTGTTTGCAATCTCGCGAATTTCGCTTAGCATAGATTGTTGCTGGTAACACCGGATATTCTACTGTCACATTGCCAGCGAAATTTCTCTAGCACGTGTCGCTCTCGTCTTAGTTCTTATTCACGTGTGTTTGCCACAGCTATGCAGACATGGCGTGTCGAAGAATTGTTTTTGAAACACTCACTGACTACAGTGACTCAAACAGCTGCCCGGTATCACTGTTCGACATCCCTCGACATGTGCACGAACGTCGAGTTTCGTCGAGGGATGTCAGGCTGCACTTCAGACACCAACACGCGTGGGTCCCACGGATGAGTTTCGTCGACGAAATTTGACGAAACTCGACGTTTCCACTTCAGACACGGCCTAAAGAACAAGCATTTAATGCCAGGTTGGAAAATCGCATTCAATGCCTTGCCTCCAAACATTCTGTAGACAGCACGCCAAGGCGCTCCACGCGACTTCCAACAATGATATTTTGTGGACCCTACCCGAGGCGCTTGCATGTGCGCGTCACTCCAGTCCACGAATGTTGGTTTCTTCGATGTTCCTTCTTGAGCAAGCGGCCCCACTCGACTTCACCAACTCCAAGCGTACACGACAAGCATCGTCGCTTCCTTCCCCGGCTACTGTGGACAGCACAGCACTCACACACCCCCTTCCCCCTTCCACCCCCCATCTCTCCCCCTCTTCCCCACCCACCCTCCAACACTGCTCCCGCCTCGCCAGCGTCGCTAGAAGTTATGCGAAACATTGTTGTCGAAAAACAAGTGTTCGCGAAACTTTCTAACAGCTGCTGATTTGCGTTACATCCAAGCGAATTGCATGTTCTGGTCCACCAAATTGATCTGTAAGGAAATTTCTCGCTATGGTATTCCTTACTGCGACCGTCAACATCCAACTTCGCGCGCACTGTTTCACCAAACCTCGCGCCAGCATAGCACTGCGTGCACTATTGCACTCTGCAGCAGCCGAGTCGGCCTACGCTTCGGGACTAGCCCGAACCTCGCGCCAGCATAGCACTAGCTAGCTCGCATGCACCGCGTTGCCGTTTGCATGTTTCACATATACGTATTCTCTCATGCCTTCGCTCATACTTTGAACACTCTAGTGTTGGAGGTCGCGTGTGTTAAAAGAAAACGGTAGTGGGGTAGTTGTATGCCCCCAACCCACGGAATGTGTTTCTTCTAGTGCTCACGAGTTGCGTGAGCTACAGGGAGTGGGTTGACTTTGGAAGACCCACTCAATGGGTGCCACATGGCAACACAAGAAGAGTCGAGATTGAAGAAGAATTCGGTTCGGTGAAATTCAGGTTCTGAATTTTATCCCTTTGAATTGTTACACGAATGTTCGTGATGCATCTCGTAGTGACTAGATGTTACAAACGCGACCCGATGTGTTGAGTAGCTATAAATGTGTTTGCCTTGTTTGCATGTTTTCATACTCAAATCGAGAATCACTTTGTATGTGTTACATTCGACTACAAAATCCAGAGAACTCCTCTCCTTGATTCCAAGAGCACTACCTAGCACATAAACGCCTATATCTCGCTCGATACTTAGGCGATCGAGTTGATCTACGGCTCGTTGGAAAGCTAACAGAGTGTTCTATTGCTTAGTTCAAATCTCAGTTCCTGTAGAAGAAGAGGAGAGTCCTCTACAACAGAGGTATCAGAGCTGGTCGGTGGAGTCTAGGTGCGCGACGAGTAGCTAGCATGGTGATGTCAAGCGAGGCCTCCCGCACTTCCTTGGATGGTGTCGTTGTAAATTCCGGCGAACCCTGGGCAACCGCGACGATGTTCGACACGTCGGCGATACCGATTTTCACGGGACAAAACTACTCCGCGTGGAAGTTTAAGTTCCAAGTGCTCATGATGGAGCAGGGACTTTGGGGTTTCTTCGATGGAACGGAGAAGAAACCAGACGACGAGAGCGGTGTCACGGCATGGAAGAAAAAGGACCAAAATGCATTTGCTACGCTGATTTCGCGCATCGGCATCAATCTCGTGAGCGCGGTGCGCACGTGCATCAAGCTCGAAGTGTCGGCACATGAAGAGTGGAAGCGGCTCGAGACGATTCACGTGAACAAGACTCTCCACGGCAAGATCCTAGCCCGGAATGCGTTATTCACACTGAAGTGTCGCGAGGGCGAATCGATGCACGAGTATGCGACTCGTGTGGAGGAAATCGGGGAAACGTTCATGGACCTCGGTGGAACGGTCACAGAGGAGGATTGGATTTTGACCTTGCTATGCAGCTTTCCGGAAGAGTGGTCGACGGTGATTACGACACTCGATAGCGTGCAAGACACTTGGACGAAGGAAATGATGGTCGGTCGGCTTCTCCATGAAGAATTGCGTCGCCGACAATTCGCTAATGAGAGTGAGGGTGCCGCCATGTTCTTTGGAGGGAGTTCCGGAAAGAAGTCCACGTGGAGCAAAGGTGCGACGAAGAAGTTGTCCGGTGGAAGCGATCGCGGCAACGGAAACACATCGAATGGCTCGAGCAAGTGCCACTATTGTGGCAAGGCGAGACACTTTTGGCGTGAGTGTCGGAAGCGCCCGAGAGATTGGACTCCATCGAAGGCGCGGAACCACGAGGGCAACGCACACACGACATCTGGCGATGCGGATGATTCAAGGGAGTCAATCGTGTTATTGGCGGGTGACGGGACCAACACTCCAAGCGACGCATGGTTCCTCGACACCGGCGCAACACAACACATCACGCACTCGGCATCGTTCCTCACCAACGCTGGTGCACCGAGGGACGTCACGCGCGTCGTCTTCGGAAACGACAAGTCGCTACCGGTGGTTGGAGTTGGGAGTACGCGCCTCATCGTCGATAGCAGACCGGTGGACATCACGAACGTGCGTCATGTCCCGGGGTTGAAGGTGAATCTCCTCTCCATTTCGCAACTTGCGAAGAAGGGAGTTACCTTCACTATGGACGATGCGAAGATGAACCTCTTTTGGAAGGGGGAGCAATTCGCACAAGGCGTTCTCAACGGAGAACTCTACCAACTCAAGACGCACCCGAAAGCGGCTTCATCCAACGTGGCACAAGGCTCCAAGGTAACTCTCAAGACGTGGCATAATCGGGCTTGCGCATGCCAACTACGAGTCGGTCAAGGAGTTGGCCAACAAAGGACTTGCGAAGGGAGTCGACGTGATCGCCGGCGATGACGAGAAGGGCGTGTGCGCGGCGTGTGTCAAAGGAAAAATGGCTCGCAAGCCATTTGGTAGCCGTACCTCACCCCTCGCTAAGGTCCTGCTCGCGCTTGTTCACATGGACGTGTGTGGACCGATGCGGTGCACGTCAAAGGGAGGAGCGCGGTTCCTCTTGGTGATGCTAGACAACGCGACGCGGATGTGTTGGACCCGGCTCTTGAAGATGCGGGTTTAGGGTTTAGGGTTTAGGGAGATGCGGCCAAGGTGATTCAAGAGTGGGCGCTCGAAGTTTGCGATGACGACAAGAAGCGGATCAAGGCTATTCGCACTGACTGTGGCGGCGAATTCGTGAACAACGAGCTTGCAAAATGGATGAAGAGCAAGGGCATAAAGCACGACGTCACAACACCCTACACACCCCAACAAAATGGAGTGGCGGAGCGGCTTAATCGCAC